TTTGTGGATTAATTTTCCTCACATTTGTAAAGACATCTCCCTCTCATTCCTTTCATAAGGTTGCACAAGGTCCTGTCCAGGTGTTTTTTTTTTCCTTCTTCAAGGGCATAGATCCTACCATCTCTGACTGTCTTTAACACAACTTAACAGGCAGACACTCCAAAATGAGGTACCTCCCCTTTTAGTTTTARCAACTCCCCCTTTCACCAGAAGAGATGAATGTGGGAAGATGTAAGTGAAAAAATAAGTTTACTCAAAAATGAAACAGTAACTGGCAAAAATAATGGTGATGATCACTAGATGCAAAGTTGCTGAATCTCATGGACTTCCTGGAAACATAGAGAAACAAAATGGCAGAGAACACACTCCCAAGATAACACCCTCCACAAATGATCTTGTGGTCTGAGAGACAAAGACAGAAATGGAAGACAAACCCATCCCCAAAGACAGATCCTCTGCAGACAACCATATAGTCTGAGAGGCAAAGATAACGGACAAATCCTGCTCAGCTCAACCTTCCCCTGGAACAAAAAACAAGAAGGTAGGAGCCTTTGAAGCAGTTCTGGTGGCAGACGGGGTATGCTGGCATTGCCTAGGGAGCTCTGGCCCTATGGTGTCAGCTGCCCTCCTTTCTTTTGGTGACTGTGAAATTGTGTGTTGATACCTATGGTATAAGTCTAAGTTACAACATGCTTGTGAGGCCTATTGATTGAAAACTTTATATAAACTTTTTTACATATTATCAATATACATTGTTAACAGCTTTCAATATCTTATCACAATAGCCTTTTCATATATTGCTTTTAAGTTTTTATATAGCGTATTAGCAACATACAGTGTACCAGCTGGATGTAATCCTGCCAGCTGGATTAGTGCCTGGACAAAGTAGAATCACCAAGAAGCATAAATCAAAAAAGTTCTGTAGAAGTAGACWGGTAGATGCTATAGTAAGCAACAGTAGAGAGCACTAATGAGTGCACAAGACAGCTGAAAAATTGAATATTAAGACCTGGAAGACTGGGAAAAAAACCAACATGAATATCACAACCGTGCATGCCCTGAAGACAAAGGTGAAAAGTCCACCATGATGAAGAGGATCGTCTCTCATTAGTGGTAGACCCCCACAGCCACTGAACTGAGGATGATGCAGGCATATTGCAGAACTGTGATATCATRYATYTCTGAACCCAYATATGGTGGTGGGCATAGTGATGATGATAATGTTATGCAATACTTACTGTATAAATACATGCCAATTTTAAGCRAAGGCAGGTGGGTTAGGAGGAGGGATCCCCTCACCCCCAGTGCTACACAGCGCTGCAATAAACAAATACCTGCTMTATAGACACYGGTCTATGSGGTTTTATTTCTAGCCTTTTCGGGCACCARTGTATGTGTGTGTGTGAGGTCAATGCAGCTGCTCACTGCCTCCTCCTGCCACCTGCTGTACTCAGCCAGTGTCAGTGCTGCTGTCACCAGTCACTGTCCCGAACGGGAGGAATGGGGAGAAGAAAGTGGACCACTGAGCACCRAAGAACTGCAAGCTGGTTGCTACTTAGAGACCTGTCTAAAGCAACCTCCTCAAGGGCCTGGAGAGAGACAAAAAAAGGTTTCTGCCTTGCACCATCTCAGTTTCCCTGCAAGAATGAAAAAGAAAGGCAATAGAGCTTCTGCTTTAGTACCCCAGACTTTAAAAGACCCTGGCACCCATCAATCTCTGTGGTTCCGTTTCTGGACACCAGATCTTAAAGAGACAGTAACAGTTTTTGGCATAGAACAGATAGATATGGAATGCAATTACATTTTGGRTTATGAAGGACATTGGCCAATCTGCATAACTGTTCTGAAAGTGAAGAATCTTTTTCTCCTCTCCAGTCAGAATTTCTGTTGTTTTAGTWTGAGTTTGTTACCTCTTACTGGGTATCTCAGAGAGCGGCTTRGCTTATTTTTCTCTATAAACCAATGTAGATGGTTGAAGACAGCAATCAGATTTAGGCTTCTCTTCTCTTGGCTGGATAAACCCAATTAGATCAGCCYCTCCCCCTCATATATTATGAGGCCCCTAGTAGACCATTCTTCCTGCTTGTCAAGGYCAATGTGAAGGACAGGCCTGCCTTTGCATATCATGTGCTCCCTGCAATTTTGTGTCACGCCAACTTGCTCAGTGTCCTTCTGTCCCCTTTTCAAGGTCATTGGCGATGATATTAAACAGTGTCAGCCTCAGTGTTGACCCTTAAGAAATCCTCCTTAACTGGGCTGCCAGCTGTATGATCACTTGTGGTTAGTCATAGAGGAGCCATTTATATTCAGCTTTCTGGTATAACCAAAGGTTTTCCTATTTTACTTTTCTCTTTCTTTCTCTTCTCTCTCTCCCTCTTAATACAGATATGTACACACACATACACAGACACACAGACACACACACACACACACACATTCTGCAGTTTCTGTTACATAAATTGACACAATTACAGGGAAACAAATTTGACACAGAATAAGCTAATTTTTGCTTYTCTGCTAAATTTTCCACTGCTCTTTTGGATTTTTCCTCTAATATAAATCCAGACACACCAGTTGAACACATCTGCTGGGTTATCACTGCATAGTACTCACTGTTGAAAAGAAATATATGGGAGTTTTTTCAAGTTAGTGTACTACAGGACACAAAAAGCTTCYGTTTCCAATAGTCCTCACGGACATTGTGTAGGAACCTGTGTGAGTCAACACCTAGTTCAGGGTGCAAATGACATGTCATATTTTTATCTCCCTTCTCCAACTTTTTCCTTCATTACCATATTTTCTGAGTGTTCTGTGCATATTTCTTCAATACTGCMATACCTTTTATTAAGATCTTTTCTTTTCCTCTCTTCTTTGGATATTGGAAAACAGCTCTGTTGCCACTCATCATTGCTACCAATCAGTTTAGAGGTACACTCTCTTTTGATTGTGAAAATAACTCTTCTTTCTGTTACCATGACATCAAAGATTTTTTTATGTGTAATTTCTGAAGTATTCTTAGCGCCTCTTCTCACTATCAGGAGAACATACAAGTGGTAAATTGTCRCAGAAGGGAAGACTCGGACCACTCAATATGAGTTATAAGCGAGCTTCCATTTATTGCAAACAATGTCTAAGTTTTATAGCRYACATAATTAGCTCATACATATTCTGTAATACATATATYTCATAGGTCCACGTCCTAAACGTCAACTCCACCTTTAATGATTCACTTACCAATTTCCCTTATCTACTTCCAMTTTTTCCCAGGGCTAACTAACACAAGTATCTTGTAGGGAGTTTCCAGYRGCTTAAAAACATGATGTCCTTGCATTGCTTTCTTATTGCTTCAGAAGAATTGTTCACACAATCTCAGCAATTATTCTAGCTGAGTGCGATACTTGTATTTTTCCATCTCGCTAAGGTGTAACATGTCTACGTGACCCTTCTCAGCTAGCCAGCCTTCCACAGTAAATTATCTGGCATGGTCCTCCTTACARTTTTACTGCAAGCTTGGTTACTTTTACTTGGTTTATGTGATAGAGGAGGGAGAGAGTATTGGTTACAATGATCTATTTAAAATTTCTCATGGTTAAACTTTAAGGTATTTATTGAAAAAAACCCTCAACCTTATTGTAAAATTAAGTAAATTCTGTGATGCAACATTGGTAGAATYCTTCTTTTCCTTGAAATTACATAAAGTAGGAAAAGCTGACTAGAAATCACAGGCATGTGACTATTCTTTGCTAGATCTACTACATGTCAGCTTGTCTGTACATGTGACAGATGCAATGGTGCAAGTGCCTTGTGTGCTGGTTAGAAGTGTAGTTAACTGAAGAAGATGTACATGGTAAGCCAAATAAGTTGGATTTTGCATGGACATTGGAGATGCTTTGTGTTCATAACGGGGATCTCGGCAGTACATAATACTACTCACCCAGATTTTCCAGGTAGAACTATGGATGCTCAGAAACTTTGTAGCTAGATAAAGTTTGTAGCTAAATTCTTCACTCAAAATAGGTTGCCCGCTGCGAGCAAATCAGAAGTTGTGACTTAAACATTGTTATGAAGGAATTTTTGTCCATTATGGCAAAACTGTATAAAGGAACTGCCACCTCCAAAGCCCACCCCTTCCTGAATATGCCTCTTGACTGGAACTCTGGACTGTGAGTTAAGCCACCTAAAGGAAACCTGAGAAGATAAAGGTGACACTATTGTCCAATTATCTCAGGTCTGGGAAGAAATAAGCAAGGCTGAGGGAGAAGAATATATCTACARAGAAAGCCAGACCCARCAGCTGTCCTGAAAATCAGCTCTGGCTGGGTTTCAGGTGGGGAGGCCATAGCCAACAGACTTATTTCCTGAGGCCAGGTACGTATATACTTCCAACCAAGGATGGAGAAGGAGAGTTTTGGGTGTGTGGCATAACCTCTAATCAGRGAGARTTAAMACCCATCCTCCCTTACACAAAMTGGCTCAGTTGTAAACTCCTCCACRTCCCGGGAAGGCCACATCCACATGGGACAGTCCCATGAGAGGCAGGTGAGTGTCATTCTGTTACTAGTACCATGTTATTASTACCCTACAATTATGGTTTTCAGCTTCAAAATAGTTTGGTAGTTTAACTGCAGTTTAACTTCTTCATTTTTTTACATTTTACTCTCTGTCACTGCTTCCTGGCCAGGACTCTAAATGATCTTTAATTCYATGGCACCTCTTAAAATCCTTTCCCCATTCCTTTGTCCTCTGAGAAGGAGGACCTAAGTTTGTGTATAATATTTATCAATTTATACACTGTCTTGTGTTATCTCTACTTCTTTTTTATTCCTTTCTTAGCAAAGTTTAATAATTTTATTTGCTTTTTTTCACACTACTGAGCATAGATAAGACATTTTCACACAAATAYCTGTCTTGTAACAGGTCAGGGCTCTTCCTGTTAAATGTGAAGGTAGGAGGGTTTCTCCCCACATGCCTTGGTTTACACTGAGCTTCTCTAAATTCCATTTTTTGCCCATATATCCAGTATCCAAGGACTMTTCTGCTAGCAGTTCTTCTCAGCCTGCCATATTTCCCTAAATAACACTCTATTGTCAGCAGACTCTGAGCCTACCATTTCCAGATCCTTGAGAAATATGTTGCACAGATCAGGTTCCAAAACACTTCCTTGTGGGACTCTACTGATGACCACCTTTTCATGTGAAAAAGGACTACTAACTGTCTTACTTACTATCTTTCATTCAGTTATTTACCCTGAAATTATTTATCTATTAGCAGTGTAACTTTTAAGATCTGATGACAGACCTTCCAGAAATCCATGGTCAGGATTCCAGGATCTATCTCTTTTAGCCACAAGGGACTAATAAATACTTCAGTGAGGTTGTGAGGCGATTCTTCCCTTTACAAAAGCTCTTTTGACTCATCCCTATTACAACATCTTTATGCATATGCTCACCAATTCTAATCTATTTTACAGTTTCCATGAAATTGCCTGCTATGGACAKCAGGACTGTACTTTTTGAGATTTCTTATGGCATTCTTTTAAAATCAGCTTTCAAATGTCAGCTGTGGCTGACACAATCCTGTCTTCTGCTACCAAATCAGTTATACCCTGGAAGTTTTTCAGGGCAGTTTGTAGTTCACTCTTGAATTCTTTTAGAATTGCTGGTTATATACTATCTGATCCTGGTGATTCATTATTATTARTTTTCCATATATGTTCCATAACATATATGGAATCTTTCGAGACATAAGCCCTACTGTGTCCCCTCATCAAAAAGAAGAGCTGATTAGGGAATCTCATCCACCTCTAATGTAGTGAATACAAATATAAAGAATTAATTTAGATTTTCTGTTATTTTCTCTCTATGCTCTTTTAAATTGCTTTTAATTTTCCTGGTGCTGCAGTCTGTCAGGCAGAGAGCCAGAGCTTGAAGTGTTTGAAAGGGGATTTATTATTAGATTTTATGCCTTATGCAAGTTGTTCCTCAAATCCTTTCAGATGGTCTCATGGTGTGGTTTACTTTTCATCTGTCACAATTTCAGATTCTATTTTCAATTTTATGTCCAAATATAGCTTTTGGAAGGATGCTTCTAAAAAGTTGTCCCCAGCAACAGGCATTTTATCAAATGAAAGCAGATATTGGTGGATGACTTYTTTTTTGCTTGTCCATAGGGGCTTTATGTAAGCAAGGAAAGGACAAAAGAGAGAGATCGCTATGTGCTGCAATTGACTGCACCTASAGCACCTTATAACTCTCTTGCCTTTCTGGAAGTATACACAGTACTGTATTAAATTACTGCTTCTGGCTGCAGGGATTGTAACCCCAATGGCATTTGGAAATACAGAGAAACAGGTTCTTTAAAAATCAGGAACTCTAGGAAATCCTTTGCACAAAAGGGTATTGTGTGTGTGCAGGAGACTCAYACTGAACATCTAGACTTGTAGTTTATTGGCTGTTTTCCATTTCATCTTCCTCATTATGACAATCTAGCTGTCTTTACATCAAGATATGTCCTGAGYAGTCAGGCTGAGCACTAGGGCTGACTGGTTCTTAAAAGTTACTAYACCATGATGCCAGTTCAGGTGTGAATATGTTTCTATTAGAGATTTGTCCTCCTTGGCATGCATGCTGACACAGACCCAGGCTAGCATTTTCCTTCCTTCTGCTTGCCTACCTCATCTCCCTCTCTCCCTTGAAGGCAAGGCAGTTTACTATCATCCTTGCAGCATATAGGAGTGATGTCTGTAAGGGCCCTGAGTACATCTCTCCCATGTCCCYTCCCCCCACTCTGGGTGCTTGTCTGGATGAGCTTAGCATCAATTTCAAAGGGTGMCAGCCTCTTGTTATTTCTCCCACCACTTTAAAACAGCTGCTCTCTTTCTTTCTGCCTGAACTATGTTGCAAATATGCTTGTGCCTAACCTCTCTGATTCTTACCCACTGGCTTGACTTCYGTCTTGAGCTGCCCAGTCACTACAGGCTTACATGGCAACCTTACCTGTTGCCTGGACTGTTGGTGAACCTGCTTTGCTCTTCTTGYTTAGGTATGATGGAATTTGCTGACTCTTAGCTCCCAGGTCTACCTTCCACATGGAGCAGTATGTCCCAGCTACATCCTGACAGTCATACTGTTCAGATGAAAAAAAAGCAGCTTTCTGAGCAAAAAAATGGGTGATAAAAGGCAAAAGGATGGGAAGATGAATATTCAAGCATAATATTCAAAGTAGAAACAAAAGATATGTTTTAAGAGCGCATGTATGATACAGCGGGGAGATCCTTTCCACTATCCCTGAACTCAAAAGAAGAAATSATGAGGAAAATATAAAAAGACTATTTTGGTCAAACTAAAGAAGAAAATAAAATCACATGCCTGTAGAGAAATTCTGGGCAATTAAGTTAAGACTATCAGAAATGGCTGGAATTGACCCAACGCAAATTTAAAATAGGAAAAAAAAAAAGCAGAACAGTTTAGATTAAAAGAGGAATGAGGGAAAAAAGGAAAGCCCTACAGACCTGATAATTAGCAATTGTACAGCAGAATATMCAGGAAAATCTTAGTGCTTTCCAGACAGCAACTAGTTTCTCAGTGATAACAAAATGAGTTGACAAGAGAAGTGGATACTGAAGTGGCAGTCTTGTGTTGAAATTTTGTAGTAGTTCTAAGTGAATATTATGGTCATATCTTTACAGTAGCAACAGAGAAGTCTATGGGAACTAGAGGACTGATGCAAGTTTGACAGCAGCAGGAAAACCATACATCATCTCTGAAACGATGTCAATGACACATACCTTTTCTTTGCAACCTTATGCATGGCAAAACATGTAGCATCTTCATAAGACTGTTGCCTTACTAGTTTGCAAGCTTCCTTTGCAGCAATGATAGGAGTCTGGGGGGCATTTCAGTACCTAGTGTTTCTGCAATAAACCCACTAGTTCTTTAAGGGCTTTGAAGCCATGAACTTTGCCCACTGTGAGCAGCTGAACTATGCAGCAAGTGGAACTTTGAATGGAGAATTTCAYTAGGAGGGTGTGGAGGTCAAAATGCAGAAAGGCTGTGTGCAGCAGTGCTCCTGAGGTGTCGTTCTTCAGAATTGCTGTTATAGAACGATGAACTTACTCTGCAATCTCAGACAAGATCAGCAGCTCTGTAAGGGCTCTGAGCTCTTCAGTACATGTACTGTAACCATGGCACTGCAAACCTCTGCAGGAAGGTGTGAATCATACAATTGTTAAACACTGGTGCTGAAACCCGCAGTATGATGCATCATGCAGCTCTTGTGGAGTATTTGTAGCTGGTGCATAGGATTTGTCTGCAGCACCAGCTGTAGTATGGGAATYCTTGTGTGGGCTTTTTGTATGTCTCTGCCACCTCCTTCAAACAGTGCTTGCAGGATGCAATGGATAGCTTGATGACACATCCCTGCTTYCTGTGCCTAGAGAAAGCACCTCTTTTATACACTGAGACAGGGACGAGCTATCCTCTACCCACCCTCCTGCTCTTGGTCCTCTCAGTCGGTCACCGAAAGGCTGGAAGCAAGCCGATTGCCAACCAAATGGTAAACTTATTGCCAGCGCTAGCATTTCTTTCTCGCTGTTAGCTTTCCTTCTTCCTCCTTTGCCGTATCAAACAAGATGCCTGATTTCCACCTCTTTAAGGACACTGAACACGCAGGTCCATATAACCCGAGGCCCCGGCCGGGCGCAGTGACCGCACCTCTGGCCATGGCCCGGCCCAGCTCCGCCCCTTCCGCTTCACGCGCTGTTGCGCTCTCCCGCATGCGGCTCCAGTGCGCCTGCGCGCGGACAGACAGGTTCAGTTGGCGGCGCGTGCGCGAGCCGTGCGCGTGCGCGGCAGCTGGGACGCTGGACCGGGAAGTGGGGCCGCTGCTGGCATGGCGGAGGCACGGCCCGGCACAGGTGAGCGCGGCTGCCGGGCTGGGCCGGGCCGGGCCGGGCCGGGCCGGGGGAGGGGGGACTGAGGAGGGTGACTGCCAGATGGGGTGGGCCCAGTGAAAGGGAGGAGCAGTCATCGCTCCCTAGCGATCCAGCGGGCAGAAAGTCGCGCTGTGGTGGTCGTCCCAGACGCTGGCTCGTCGGAGGGTGCGGGCTGCGGCACCACCTGTTGCGGCTGCTCCGCCTCCGCCCGCCGCGACTTGGCAGCGCCTGTGGCGCTCAAGATGGCCGGGCTCTCCTGAGGACTCGGAGGAGGAAGGACTGGTATCTGACAAACGAATRGTGACGCCAGAGAAAAATAAATAAAGAAGAGCTTGGTTACTGGAAATCCTGACTGTTCTCTGCCACCTTGGTGGCAGCTCTGCAAGGTGTTTCCTTGCACCTCAGATTTCAGGCTGGCCGTATAGAGCAGTGGCAATGACTATCCCAGGCCCACGAGTTGCTGTCAAACCGCGGCTTTTTGAGGCGTTTCAAAGGGATCTGTGAGTAGAAGTCTTAGACATGCAGGAGGTTACGTCTTAGAGCAGGTAGTACGTGCCCAGCGGGATCTAGGCGGGGGCTCACGGATGGTGAGCGTCTTAGGGACACTAACGACCTAGACAAAGATTGTCTGTCTCGCAAGAAAACAGTTCTTTTGTTTGTTTTGCCCTGTTTACCTGTATGATGCGAGTTCAAAATAACTTTAGTTTTATTGGTTGTGGTTGCTTAAGAGGGGGGAGCAAACCTTTCAAGATCGACATTTCAGCCTTGAATTTAATGATTTGTCCTGTATTACAGGCACTTAACATAGAAGAGCCCTTATTGTAATTGTGTCATGAGTAAATATCTAGAAATAACACAATTGCTGAGAGTAATTAATGATACTTAGCTTTTTCATCATGTCTCTTTATTGTAGTCTATGTAAACCTTCTCTGGTAACCAATATCACACTGAAGTCAACTGATGAGTTAACTAATTTAATTTTTCATAGAGTCGTTGGATTTCTGTCAGGGAGCATCCTGGACTTTTGTGTCTTGGGTGAAGAAGAAAGTATCATTCTCTGTTTTTGCAGCATCCTGATGTTAATTTAGATTATCAATAGCCAGTGTCTTTAATAGCATCCCCTGTTCTTGGCAGCCTGGCTATTATGATGGAAAAGTTACTTGAGTTCATTTTTCGGTGGTATGAGAATGGGTCCACAGACTGCATTGTGGGAAGTAAAATGACCTGGGACATGGTTCAGAGAGCACTGATAGCTTCAGTAAAGCTGGTACAGTCAAATTTCTTCTTGTCTGTTTATCTTTCATGCTGTCAGGCTGCAAGAGAACTCTGTGAAATGTTTTGTGTAGTATGGGAATGAAGAGTCTTAGGTATACTGGGCTAAAAATTGCTGAATAGCAATAGATTAGTCTGGATGGGRCACCATTTCTACACTTGCCTTATAATGCTTAAGATAACACTGACATTGTTACTTGGCATTAAGTTCTGAAGTTGATTAATTTTTGTGTTAATACTTACTGTGCTCTCAACAAAAATCTCATAGGTAAGTTTTGAATTGTACCTGTGCAATATTGTAATGGAAGCTGGGTTTTTCCCTGCAACTTCATGGACAGTGCAAGTGTCTGATTTTGAAAGCTTGAAACTGAAAGATGTTTTTGCTCTCAGGGTATAATAGAGAATTGAAGAGAGACAGTTTTGCGCCACTGCAGATATGCGGCACATCCAGGATATTTTGTCAGTAATGAACAATTATTGAGACCCAGGAAATTACTATAAAAACAAAGAATAAAAATATAAACAGCAAGGCAATTGTAATTGTCCACATTGATATATCTTTCTAGTTTCTGTCCYTGTGCACCTAGAAGGGACAAGTGTATTGCATTTAATAGCCGTTAATGGATTTTTTCTATCAGTTGCWGTAATTGCTGTTGAATGTAGGTTTGGGTTTTTGCTATCACAATGACAGCTGGGTGCATCATTAATGCATCATTAAGCTGAGGATAATCAGGGAATTGCTGTAAAGCATTGAGTAGCCCACTGTAAGTGGGAAGAGGGAAGTGGAAACTTAAAAATATATTTGCTTTCCTTATGCAAAATCCATTCTGTAGTAGGTCCTTCTGTTAGGATGATGAAACTACTTACSATGAAGTTCTACTTTTGAATTCTCTCCCATGTCATCTTGAAATGGGCTGACTAAAACTTCATGTTCCATTTAAAGTATGAATGTACTGAATTGGGCACAAAACTGGTCAATAGCATAACAAGACAATAATATAGCACTACGCACAAATACATATATAGGGGACTAACTAGCTGGAAAATAGCTTTACAGAAATAGTGAGATGAGACCACCCCTGGAGCACTCTGTCCAGTTTTGAGCTCCATGTGTACAAGGATGACATTTACACACGGGACTGAGTTCGGCAAAGCGCCATGAAGATAATAAAGGAATTGCAGCATCCCTTACATGAGGAGAGGTAGAGAGAGCTGGAACTACTTAGTCTTAAGAAGTCTGAGTGATCTTAGTGCTATGTACGAATACTGAAAGGGTGGGAATAAAGAATAGAGCCAAATTCTTCTTAGTGGTATTAAATTAAAGGACAAGAGTCCACAAGTACAAAACATACAAAATTCCTGCTGAATACAAGGGAAAACCATCTTACTGTGATAATGGTAATACACTGGAAGTGGTTGGTCAGAGAGGTCATGGYCTCTCTCTCCTTGGAGATACTCAGAATCCAGCTGGACAAGTTACAGGCAACTGACGCTTTTTGGGCATTTTTTTTTTTGGACGAGATGATCACTAGAGGACTCAAAATGAGCCATTCTATGATTCTATGGTAATGATGATTTTGTGTGTTATTCTCTAATAATTTCTGGCAAGAATGATAGGAAGATGAGCTAAAGCAGTTGAACTAAATGAGTTTTCGGCATGTAGGTTGTTTTGCCTGGAAATGGGTTGCACTGCTTGCGTCGTTAAGCCTGAAACAATGTAACTCCTGTTTAGGAAGAAATTGAACGTTTTTTAAATCTGTGTCATCTTTGAAAATGRTAAGATACTGAAGGTGTATGTATAAAGTGATCAGAGAAAACAGAAAGTATAAGCTTGAGAGTCTGGCCTAAAGCTTCCAGTGCTATGGGAAAGCCTAAGATTTCCATAATGCACCATTCCTTGTTTTTTTTTTCTTCCATGTATCTTGTTCTTCGTGTGCAACTGACTGAGTCATCTCTTCTTTGGATATATGTAATGCTGACACAAATAGATTGTTGTGTGCACATTTTACTGTCATCTATCTTTAGGTGAAAGAATAGATTATTTGATTGCTTTAAAACTGCAAACATCAGTCCTTAAATTAGTCTTACAGTGAGAGTATATAGATAGAACAACTATTCATAGAATATTCTGAGTTGGAAGGTACTCACAAGGGTCATTGAGTCAAATTTGTGACATCACACAGGGCAATCTAAAAATTAAATCAGRTGTCTAAGTACATTATTAAAACACTGAGTACCGAAAAGCTTGAGGTCATGACCACTTCCCTTTAAAGCTTTTTCCGTTACTTGACCACCCTCTTAAGTTTTTCCTGATGCTGTCCAGTCTGATCTTTCCTTGACTAAGCTTTAAGCCATTCCCTCATGTCCTATCGCTGGCCACTGGGGAGAAGAAATCAGCAACTCCCTCTCCACTGCCTCTCACGAGAAAACTGTAGACAGCAGTATGGTCACCCCTCACTCTTCTCTAAGCTCAACAAAGCTATTATTTTCAGCTGCTCCTCATGTCCTTTAGTCCTTTCTCCATTTTTGTTGCCCTCCTTTAGGTATCTAATATTTTTATACCCTTCTGGCATTGTGGAGCCGCACAGTACTCAAGATACTATCTTTGTGCATAATGCATACAGTACTCAAGACTCAAATTCATTTGGCTGAATTTACGGGTATCTCACTAAAAAGCAGTCAGTTAAAAAATGTCTGAAGTCCAGTCAGAAAGATTGATACTAATCAGTGTTGTTTGTTTCATTCATTTCATTTTGTATTGATATGAAATTTCAAAAGGAAATCAGTTCTTCCCGTCTTAGGAGATAAATTAACCCAACTTTAAGAATAAAGAAGTATTAACTCTGATACCTAAGGGGCTATTCTGTGGACTGTGTTGTGTTTTTTTCTGATTGACTTTGTGAAGATATATTTTTTCTTTTGTATTTGTTTTAAATTATCAACTTCATACTAATTAAAGTCTATTATTGAATGGTTCTTAAAAATCTAATTTAATGTAGCTTTCTGAAACAGTGAAACTGTGCTAATATATGTCACTTAGACATRATGTCTTTAGGTGGCACCTTTAAATGCCAACCTTAATGTATTCATTAAAAGAAGTACCTAAGGTATTGGCTGTACTGTTCCTCAGTATACAAACGCTGTTTTTGAGGATGAGCTTCTTATTAAAATGAGATGAATACTTATTAATTTGCATCATATTTTTAAATGTGTCCTTATCAAATTATTTTTCTGAAAAATAGTTCACAAGAATTAACTCTTTGCCAGAGCATTCTGGCTCTGTCAACAGTTAATGCTGAAGGGGTGTAATGTTATGGCAGAGCAGGCATGAAACCGTATAGGTTTCATAGGTTTCATTCTAATTTGCCCTGAAGTTCCTAGGGGTGTTAAAATCRTAGAATCATAGATTGGCTTCATAGAATCATAGATGGGCTGGAAGGGACCTTAACAATAATCTAGTTTCAAGCCCCCTGTGGTGGTCAGGGACACCTTCGACTAGGCCTGTTGTTCAGAGCCCCATTCAGTGCAACCTTGAACACTTCCAGGAGTGGGACTACTTCTTTGGGCAACCTATTCCAGTGTCTCACCACTGTCACAGTAAAGAATTTCTTCTTTATATATAACCTAAATCTCTTGTCTTCCAGTTTGAAGCCAAACCCCCTTGTCCTGTAACTACATTCCTTTGTAAAATGTCTATTTTTCTTGTGGTCTCCCTTTTACTACTGGAAGGTTGCAGTTAGGTCAACTTGGAGCTGCTTCTCCAGGTTGAACAAATCCAATTYTCTTAGCCTTTCCTCAAGAGATGTGGTCCATCCTCCCGGCCATTTTGGTGGCWTCCTCCAGACTTGCCCCGAGAGCTGGATGCAGCACTGCAGGTGTGGTGTTCTCAGAGCAGAGTAGAAGTGGTGAATTAATTCATTTGCCCTGCTGGCTGCACTGCTTTTGATGCAGCCCAGGATACAGTAGGTCTTCTGGGCTGTGAACACGTTTTGGCAGATCATGTCTAGCCTCTCATCCACTAGCACTGCCAAGTCCTCCTCAGCAGGACTGCTCTTGATCTGTTCTTCCCCCAGCCTGTGTTGATGCTGGGGTTTGTCGTGACCCAGGTGCAGCACATTGCCCTTGGTCTTGTTGAACCTTATGAGATTCCTGTGGGTCCACTTCTCCAGCTTGTCCAGATCCCTTATGATGGCATCTCATCCTTCAGGTGTGTCAGCTGCACCACTCAGCTTGGTGACATCTGCAAATTTGCTGAGGGTACACTGTATCCCTTTGACTATATAATTAATGAAARTACTTAATTAGAGTGGTTGCAGTACAAATCCCTGAGGGACACCACTTGTCACTGATGTYAGTCAGGACTCTGAGCCATTGACCACTACTCTCTATATGTGACTTTGCAACCAATTTCTTATCTGCCTAACAGTCTACCCATCTCTYTCCAGTTTTAATGTTGTGGRAGACCATGTCAAAGGCTTTACAGAAATCCAGATAAATAACATCTGCAGTCCTTCCCTGGTCAACTGATGTAGTCGGTCCATCACAGAAAGCCACTAAGTTGGTCAGGTGGGACTTGCCCTTGTGCTGGCTCAAATCCCCCAACCATGTGTCTTAGCATAACTTCTGGGAAGATCTGTTTCATGATACTCTCAGACACAGAAGTGAGACAATATAAAAGTTGTTTCTAAAGGTACTATGATTTTCTATATTTATTTTATAGAAACACAGCCTATATTTTATAGGCTGGAATTTAGCTTTGGAGGATGCTTTTTACTTTGAAATTTTGTGTATGTACATGTAAACGTGTCAGCAAACATTTCAGCCAGTGTTAGCTACTTATTGTTACGCTTGTACATTTATTTTTCAGTTTCTTGTCTTGGCAGATAGAAATCAGTTTTAGTAGAATTTACCACTCTGAAATTTTCTTCATAATGTGGAGGCTGACAAGAAGAATAGAAATCTAACTGTGTAAAAAGTCCTGATGAATTATTCATATTTTGCAGGTGCTTTTAAATATAGTAATCCCGGTTTCTCATTTTTTTCTTCAGACTTAATGGATTATTTGTAAAGTGCTTTCAAAATATTACTTCCACACTTACATTTCAAATCATGGTTAGACTTCTTGGAAGCCATGCTGAGAGGTCAATATCTGTAATTAATCCATTCATTTTATGTACCACATCTCCTAACCAAAGAAACAGTGGTCATTCAAAATAGAATATACTTTTTAGAGGCATGTTGTGTTGGTTTTGAAAAACTTCTTTTATTAAAGTTTTTTATTAGTTTTTTTATTAAACTTTAGCTATCCATCAGACTTTAAATTTTAGAGTACACAAAAGAAAATAAAATGGGTTATTTCAAATAAGGTTTGCATGTAATTATGGGGTTGTGTTCTATTTTCAAATTATAATGTGTGAAACTTAAGTAGTCTATACTTAATGACTGCTGTTTACATTATAGTATAAAAGGACCATAGTTTGTGATTGTATAGCTCTTTATTAGTGATAGAAAGGAAACTTGGCAAAACACTGGGAAAACTGAAAGCAAGTGTATCTGTAGAAAGTAAAATGGACAACTTTACTTTTGCAGTTCTTTGCACAGGATACATATGCTGAGAAATAGGTATAGATAGTAGTTTATGTATAGGTACTATAGAATGTTTCTAGGGAAATTCCATGCAGTCCAGATTTTTTTAGATGTATAAGCCTAATGTTTGTGCCTGATAGGGCTTGCAGTCCTAGAGATAGAACAACTGGAAGGGACCTGCAATGGTCATTGAATCGAGACCTGACCACTTCAGGGGTAACCAAAAGTTGAAGCATGTTAATAAGTATTGCATCGAACACTGRCAGACATGGGATATTGGACCATCCTTCTGGAAAGCCTATTCCGGGTTTTGRCCACACTGTAGGCAGAGAAATATCTCCTCATGTTGAGTATGAACACTTCCTTGTCCCTCCCCCACCTCTTCCTCCAGAACGGACACAGCTTTGCACATRTCCTGGCACTGGGTACTGGAAAGAAAGATCAGCACCTGCCTCTCTACCTCTTTTTAACCTGAGTTTAGATTGATTCTTAACTCAATGTCGAGCTGTTATGAGGCCAGATCTCTCTCTGGTCTTCTCATTCTGTTGTCTCAAAATAAGGTTAGTATTTCAGCTTTAAAAAACCTTGTTTGTATATTGGCCATTGGCATCTATTTTATTTATAACATAAAATACTGTGTAGTGTACCATATAATAATATTTAATATACAATATTAATAACATATACTATCTTGCAATGTAACATTGTAATGTTAATATATGCTAATATATATTGATACAGTAAATATAGATGATACAAAACAATATTTTATATATTATATAAATAATATATAATATTGTTCTTGCAAAGCCAAAAAGCCCCAAAGTAATTTCATCTACTCTTTAAAAACTACAGTATGAATTAGGATATGTGGTTAAAACATCCTTGAATGTATTTTTAATTTCTTTATGAAGATTAAAGCTTCACTTCCACAAAGCTACTATATTATTTTTGGACACCAGCTTTCACATAGCAGCTATGACCATTCCTGGAGATTTAAAAAAATACTTACTTCATTTGAAAACAAATTAAATTCACTGAAAAAAAAACATGTTAATGCCTTGAAATGTTCTGGTTTATTCTTCCCTTCAAAATGTTAATTTCCACAACCTTTATTGAAAAAATGGTAGGTAGTTCAGGAACCTATATAGCATTAGCCTTTTGGAGAGTCTCTTGGCCTGAGTCATAGCCTAAGTGCTTGGTTATTTTTTTGAATTGTTGTGAACCAGGAATAAACTTCACTCTGCCCTACCATGTGAGGTGACCTACCCAACCAGTAAAATGGGCACTATCTCCATGAGATTTTATAAACTTCTCTTTTTTTACATTACTGTGTAAGACTTAACCAATCTGCAACAGCCAATTACACTACCCCTGATATTCACCTAATAATTTCAGTGGCAGGCACTGCTGTCACAGTGTTACAGGAAATTGAGCAATATAGAATTTCTCTTTCTTTCATCTAGAGAAATAGAAATTACAAAAGACCTCTGAAATAGAAGCATGGTTTATGTTGATGGCGTCAGAAAAATAATTTTGCACAGCTACTCTGCATAGTCCTTCTACCATTTAATATGTCTATATGTAGTAATCAGAGTTGATGCAAGTATTTACTATTGCTACTTTTAATTTATATTCAAAGTTTTGTCTTACATTAAAATCTCAGATGTAGATGTTATATTTAAAGGACTTTTTTCAGGTTCTTGTATGTATGTAAACATGCTAGGAAAACTTCAGATACTAAACACCGATTATCACACTTGCATATTTTGTACTGTTTCAAAAATTTTTCTTCATGTTTTATTTTTATATACTTAACTCTGGATCATCACAGTCCTTCTGTAAAGATGACAAGAAGGCTTCTACAAAGCACTGTATGATTCAGTACTAGTTTCTGGACACTTTTTTTCAGTTATTCTGTCAAGTGTGGGATTAATTGAACTTCTGGACCTTTGCATGCATAGTAATTTGCTTGAAAAGAAGTATTTACTGTTTTATGAATTTATATTTTTTTTTTTTTTAGGTACATTGAATTTTAGTTCTGATGCTGCTGATTCCATTCCTGGAGAAAGACAACCTACAGATATAAACTGGGTAAATAAAGATAGGAAAGACTCTAACAGTAATAAAAATAGAAGTAATATATCAATTCCTAGTCTGTCTTGTGAAAGAGGTACAGATTATGAAAGCTCTTCCACAAAGCATCATGGCTTTTGCAGTCCAGAAAGTCAGCATGGGAATTCTGAAGACTTCCACCAATATTTTGGTACCAGTAAAAGTCTGAAGAATCGCAGTTTGCAAAGCCAGAGATTGCACAGACCAAGAAATGACAGCACATGTGCTAGAAGTAAGATAAGGCAAAGTACTACTGATGCTGCTGCAGGTCCAGGAATTTCAGATGCTGCAGTAGTACCTGGTAGACGAGCACCTCCTAGAGGRTACAATGATTTTCTCTCCTCAGAGAGTGACAGGGAGGTACACAATGTGGATAGCAGAGGGGCAAAGCCAAAGAAAACACATTTGATGCATACATCTGTGAGAGGATTCAGGGAGAAGGGAAAGCAAGTACATGACCGTGAAAAGAGAGTGAACTCTAAGCAGAAAATAGAACTGTTTGAAAATGTTCCATCTTTGGATTTGACACAGTCTGACTCTTCAGAATCATCTATTGGAAAGGCATTCTGTGATGCACCTTTTGGAAGTGGGGATGAGCAAAAAGGCTACAATAATGTAAACAAAAGGTATCCCCGGAAGCCTGTGTGGAATAAACTGCCAGTAGAAAAGGAGTCTCAGAAAAGACATGATTCTCACCGCAGTAGAAATACAAAAGTAGGTAAGAAGTCTTCTCTTGCGTATACTCCAAAAGATAAAAATGAAAGGAAGAAAGAACTTGCTGCTCACAAAAATGATGAGAACTTGACTAATGAAATCAGACACCAGTTGTCTGAGTCTCWCAGATTCAATGGAAGAAAGTTCCTGCTAAAGGGGGATCAAGCACCTTTACTTCATTTCAGCTGGACCCAGTACTGGAAAAAGCAAAGTGATGTGCCAAAAAACAAAGAAACTCACACAGGTAAGTTTTCTAGACTGTGCTGGGCTCCTATATTAAACATATAATCTTGAATAATTTAAGCAGTCTTTGCTTCTGCTACTGCCTTCAATAGCTGAAGAGGCTTATTACTTCACATTAAATCAGTATTGGTTTCAGAGGGGAGAATTAAATGTAAATACATGGCTTCTCAGTGGGAGCATATTCTGTGAATTTACTAGGGGAGAACAGATCTTGTTTTAAAGTTTTTTCTGCTTCASTACTGAACTGCAAATGATGACCTAGTCAAGCACCATGTTAAAACATGTATATTGTAGGATTAAAATTGCGAGCATTCTGAATAATGGGACTTGAGAAGGACAACACTGAAACTGATTTTTGCAGCATAAATCTTCTCATGTGTTTTGTAGAAGTAAGAAAATGCCAGACAGAGAAACACTGTTCTGCTCATAACTGAATTTTACGTACTTTTTTTCTCCACTTTCACAAAAGGTGGTTAGAAATAGAGGCAATATCTGGATACTTTTTTTTTAAGTTTGGGAATAGAAATATATGCTGTTGACAGTGTAAATCAGACCTACAGTTTCTTGCTGAGTAAATTTTCTGCAGAGTCATACTGTTGTTAACTGAATCTCTTCAGTGCTATCGTGACTAGTTCCAATTGTCTTAACTATGGTATCAAATGTGTTGAAGACTTTGCTTCTCAGCATCTCCTGTTTCACAGTTGAGAAAGTAATAGCATAATCAGGAAGCATATGATACATGTAGTTGGAAACTTTATTCCGTTAGGTAAGATCAAAATCTTCCTTAATCCTTTCTAACCAAAATAAATTAATTGTCATGCTCCTAGGTCCTACTTGAATCACAAACTTGAAGTTACCTCAGTCTTTTTCCCAGCCATTATTATTAAATGAAAAACACCACATGCAATAAACAGAAGATAAGTAATAGTCTTTCACAGGGAACTCTTAAGAAACTTCTTCCTGCAAAATGGTAGTCTTTGCAGGCTTTACTTCGGAGCTCTTTTGGAAGCCACTGTTTTCAGGGAACTGAGATTGTGGGTTTTTAACTCTTTCTGGTACACCTACAGTTTGTGAGTATGTGTTGGGGGTTAAGGTTTCTCCTTTTGTTTCCTTTCTTGGGGTRTTTCCCATTTTGTTGCTAACATAAGCTGGTGGCTGGGTCATTACCTTAATGACAGGTGCCGAGGCAGAACAAAAGAAGTTGCCAGGCCCTGGTCGGGGGGGGAAGGGTCTCCCTGGGCATTTTCTCCTGCCTGGCAGGTTTTTTTTTCCTCTCTTTGGAGAGAGTGAAGTTGTAGCTCAGGAAGGGTGTGTGTGTGTGTGTGTGGCATGTGTATGTATGTGTGTGGGGTGGAGGGTAGCGAGCTCACCACCTGCTGCTGCTGCAGAACCCAGCGTCCTGCTTGCTACACTGTGGCTTTTCTGCTGCCCTGCCTTGCTGGGATCCCTGTGATTCTACAGTGGTCGAGTTCTGATACACCTTGTCTACAGCCGCAGGATTCTGCTCATCTCTTMGCCCATCTGGCCATTCCAAGGTTTCTTGCGATCCAGAGGGAGCATCTGGATCAGCTTTCCCCTTGTGAGTTTGTAGAGGAACTTTTCTCCATCCATCTCTGCCAGCTTGTGCCTGCCCTTCACTGGCCACCTGGGAGATCTGAAACTAGCTGGGACCCGCACCACAGCGCCTCCTGCAGCCACCAGGGARTCATCGCATCTGCCCTGCCTGGCCTGGAGCCAACAGCGCCTCCTGCCAACCTTAACTGCACCAAAGGGGAGGGTGTGTGTGTGCAGCTGTCATTGGGTTTGTGGTTGGGTCAGTTTTTGCTATCATTGTTACTTGTTTTACCTTGTTATACATATTAGCAAAAACTGTTATTCCCTTTTACCCATATCCTCACCTGAAGGATTTTCAAAGCTATAATAGTTCAGAGGTAAGGGGGGTCATATCCACCACTCTGAGGGAGGTCCCTGCCTTCATTGGCAAACACCTGACTTTCAAGCCAAGAAAGTATGGTATAGCTTTAGTCTTCTGGAAATAAGATGTATGTTGTAACTGAGAATCTTCCTTTACGGCAGATAATAATTACGGGATAACAAGTAGAAATGATGGTTAATTCGAAATGTTGTGGGGTTTGATGCAGGAGAGCTAGAAAACAAACTTGAAGATCCTGTTGAGGAAGATTAAAAAATGTTAACAGTTGTATGTTTCCAGGCAGCCATGGGCTTGCTTGCAGTCACGTGTGGTACAAGCACATTTTGGATTGACAGTAATTTTTTTCTGTTATTTTCATTTATTTCCTTCAATATGAATTCTCCTTATTCTTGCAATCTAATCACAGAAGAGCAAAGAGAACTCCGTGTGGATAAATCTAAATGTACTTGGGCTCGAATGTTCCCTGAAACAGGATTAAAACACAAATAAGCTTAGATGTTGATACAAAAAAAATGTATTTTATTTAATAGTAAAAGAGGCAAAGAGAAGAAAAGAGAAAAGAAAGAAATAGATAAAGAGGTATATTGGGTGGGACAGGGAGAGTGACAGAGACAGATTAAGTAGAAACATATCACCCCTCCATAGGTCTCAACAACATCTTACTGCTCCCCTTCTTTAGGTCTTCTTGGTGATGAAAGCCCCCCGCTGAAAAGTGTATAAACTAATGGATTAATAATGGGCCGGGTGGGAATGTCCTGGTGCCTTCCCTGACCGGGGCGGGTTTGACATTGTCCCCTGCAAGACTGTGGCTCTGTTGCATCAGACGTAGTGCTCTCATGCAGGGTCTGGAGACCCCTTAGGAATGACCTTTGATGGACCATGACACCCCCTCTGCTGTCCCTCACATGAAGGTCTCATAGATGTGGCTTTCCCAGGATGGGTGTCTGTGCAGTTGGGCTAGTCTGCACAACAAAAGATGRGTGTTCAGTGCCTCTGATCAGAGGCTATGTCACACACCCAAAACCTCTCCTCCAGCCTGCTTTGGTGTGAGGGTCTGTGCAATCCTGACAGCAGATAAAAATGGGACTATAGCCTCCTTCCCAAAGCTTCTGGACATCCATGCTGTGGATGCACGCTTTTCCAGTCTTAGCCATCACATCACAGAKGCTTTCAACAATAGTGTCATTTCTAATCTCTATCCCTTGGTGGCTGAACTCACAGTTTAGAGTCTCAGCCTGGGGGCCCCATTCAGGGTGCCRTGGTCTTCCATGCAGTTTTTGTTACTCAATTTTGCTATAATAGGCAAAAGTCCTTCATAAAAATGTTTAAGCCATAGACCATAAGATTTCAGTCTCCAGCACTTGAATTGGCACAATCTAAAAATTATACATTTTTACTCTTTATACCTGTAGTTAATATATTTGAAAATTCAGTGGGCATTTCTAAGATTTATTTGGTAGCCTTATCTTGATGGGTGAAAATTATTCTGATAGGCACCATATGGCTTCATTGCTTTCTTATGGTTGCATATCTGTTTGTTTTCAGGCTGCTTTGACTTTAATGTGGGTTTTTTGCTGTATTTTGGAGTACATTTTCACATTCTTTTATATGGCTCAAAAGACCCTGTGCTTTGACTATTGTCCTCAGTAATTCCACTCCTAAAGCACTCAGTTTATAAAAGGGCTTATTCCCATAATCCAGGTCCTTCRCTGTTAATATTTGTTGTATCATCTCCCAGAAATACTTAAAGATAGGAATTAAATGTAATTTTGGCTGAGATTTCTGTAGTTCAGAGCTTTTGTCTTTTTGGTTTAGAGTATATGCAAAGACAAATTTTCCATATAAAGTGCTGAGTAAAACCTCAAACTTCTGCCAATCTTAAAACTATTAACTAATTAATAGGCTCAGAATAATTGCTATTTATSAAAGTGGAATTTGCATTGTCACTTTAATGGGAATCTCATACTCCTTCTTCCTGCTCTGAAGCTAAAGAAATACGTAGCAAGTGTCAAACTGGAATCTTCCAGGAGTAAACTAACACCCTATTTATAGCCACAGAGGTAATCTTGGAATTTAATTTGAGTTTTGTTTCTCACCTAGCTGTTGTTTTATGTACAAGTAATATATTTTATTTGCAGGGTCATTGATTGAACAGCTGACCACAGAGAAGTATGAGTGCATGGTATGCTGTGAGGTGGTCCGAATAGTAGCCCCAGTGTGGAGCTGTCAGAATTGTTACCATGTATTCCACCTGAATTGCATTAAGAAGTGGGCACGATCRCCAGCTTCACAAGCTGAAGGTTGGTATTTTATCAAATATATATTTTATATATATTCCATATTGTATATATATATTGTATGTATAATGTATATTATCAAATATCTATAATACCAAATTCATCTGTTTCTTATGTAGTGAAAACTACTGAGAAATATTGTTTAAGATAACAATGTGACTGAGTCTGAGGCAGGGCTACCAGGTTCGTTKCTAGAGGGACGCATGGTGGTGAATTAAAGCTAAACCATACTAAATAACTGATACAACACATTTTGTTTGAACTGCTTTGATACCTTATGTGGAAAAAAACTTGATGGATTTTAGAAGGATTATTGTAGCCATTCTGAAGTATATGATCACCCTAAGAGAGGAAAATTGGAAAGAAAAAAATAAAAAGAGAGGAACAGAGAGATGTCACCTCCCACGGCTCCAGTGACACGTGGTGGATCATGGCCCWTGGTTGCAATATGCAGTCCGAGTCTATCAGAGATGGAGGCCTGCATACGCATCAAAAGCTGTGGGGTTTATAAGCCTGATTCTTCTAGTAAACACCCCAGTACCTCCTCCAGGAGGAGTTCTGGGCATGCACAGTCTTCTTTCTGAAAGATTCTAGAAGTCTGTCAGCATTGAACAGGGGGCTTGAGTGTATGTGACTAGGTGTGCCTGGACAAATTTTCCAAACACAGGTTCTGAGTGAACTTTTCAGAGTTTTGRGGCAGCACAGTGGTGGCTTGTGATACAGGAGAGAAACTGGCATAAAAAAAGCCCTCTACCCTGCTTCTGTAGTATCCATTGCTTAATAGAAGTTTCTCCTTTAATTCTGAAACAGCTTGTTTTAGGCAAAATTTAGCCACATGGTACAAATGGTTCACTACAAGCAGTAAACTGGAAATAAATTTTAACTCAGGTTTTGTTTCAGGGTTCTGTGTATGCCTTATATAATCCTCATAACTCGATTCTTTCTACTGTTATAGCTAAAGCTACTTTTCAGATTTGGATACATAAGATCATTCAATGAAACCAGTGCATCAAGATGCAAAACTCTGTGGCTGTTTTTACACACCAAGAAATGTCTCATCTCTTACCTGTGCTTTGCCGAGCAGTCAAGCAGAAGCACTTYGTGCATTAGTTATCTGCTTTTACTCCACATTTTAGTTCAGTTCTCAGATAAAGTACTCCTGAAATCTATCCCTGATGCCATGCAATGAAAGGAAATTAAGGGAAGGCAGAGCTTCAGCCTTTTTCAGCAGCTTAAACCGTTTCAGATTCCTTGTATTATACCACTTTTTGAAACTCTTAAACCAGCACATTATGTCCTTTGAGTGCTTTGGTGTAATCTAAGGCTTAGTTGCAGCCACTKCTCAGTTCAGTTGCGTGGTGTAGACACACTCTGAAGACTATAATGTTAGTCCCGAAGTAGGCTTATTTTTTTCTGTATGCTGCTTGTTCAGCATTTGCCATTCTTCATGTGTCTTTCTGTATCTCTCTGGGCAGACTGAGGAAATATGTCCCCTACTTCCAAATGTTTGACAGAAGTTCTTATAGACTCTAAATTTCCTGCAGAAAAGATTGATTGCAAAGTTCTTTTTGAAGAAGATGCCTTAGTCAGACTATGCATCTTGATTTTTGAAGATACATTGCCAGACTTCTGGGTAGGGCTGGTGGTGAGCCCCAGTTCTCACTTGACAAGTTTATTTCAAAGGGACTTGAGGTACTTCTTTACTCTGAGGTGGGAGAAATGCAACAACATTCTCAGGAGGTTAAAAACCAAACTTTGTTGGCAAACTTTATAAAATCAGAAATTTGGCAAGATTTAAAGCAATTAATTCAAATAAAATAAAGCAGTTTACTGAGCAACAACTTAGCAAACTACCCATCCAACTTTAAATACTTTGAGAAGAGAAAATTAGGAGCAGAAAAGAAAAGAAAGAAAAGAAAAAGAGAAAAGCAAGGTATAGCTACCACCTCTTGGATCATAATGCGATCTCAGCTGCCATACAATTCAAGGACAGTAGGGACATGACATGTTTGCCTTGTACTTTGGCTTAAATGTACTTTGGCTTTAAGTACCCTTTGGCTTCTTGCCCCTTTTCCCCAGGTGGGACTTGYGGTTTGGTAGCCGCTCAGGAGCTGGGTTAGGGTCTCCGGGTGGGGGGAATGTGGAGCATTGCCTCTGGTGTGCCAATGATTGGCAGCCACTGCAGGGCTGGGCTCTAGGGATTGGATGSGGTGTGCGGAGTGGAGTACTGCCTTACCAGGCAAAACCTGCCCCTTTCCCCATACATGTGCCTGAAGTGTTTCCAGCCAGCCTGGAACCTCCAGTCTCTCACTGYTGGTCATGCTTGATACTGATAGTAGAAAGTAAGTTAAAAGTATCAGCTCAGGGTTTGAAATAAAAGTATTGGAATTTTTGAGAAGGGAACGGAATTTTGGGTAAGACTGAGATCCTAAGCCAGACTGAGGTGACTGTTAAGTGACTCACCTTCTTTGGAGTTGATTTATCAACCTGAAGTTTACTGCTTGACGAAAGAGTAGCCCACTTGCTTATGAGGGCTTTTTTTCTCTCAAGCTAGTAAYCTTAGGTACTTGTATCCTGAAAGCTTTTAAAACTAGAAAAAATTTGGGCCATTTGCTTTTCATATAAGAATTTGTGGACGAAATATGTTGCTGTCTTCTGTGTCTGAGAGAATTGGAACTGGTCATTAACTGAAATTAAAGATTATGGCCTCAGTAGAACTGATAMCATAGCTCCAGTAAAGACATTGGTACATATTTCTTTACCTGCAAGGCTCTGCTACCCCATCTTGTTTAGATCTTGTACTTCAGAGTGTATTTGTTTTAGGTTGTTTCAGTATAGGTTCTACATTTCAGGCTTTGTATAATGAGGAATTCTCTAGGCTACTGGTAGTTATTGTCTACTGGAGGAGAAGTGGGACACTGTAATTTACTTAACTATAATTTGCTGGGTTTTGGAAGTGGAAGAAAAATGTTGTGTCTTTATTTTTGCACACTATTTCTTTTGATTCTGCAAATGTTATAGTGAATTCCAGAAAATCTTATCTGATCAGCAGCCAAACTTTTCACTGGTACATTTCATTTTCAGCTTGCTTTACTTATAAGATGAGTTTTGAATGTTCATTTTAAGTTTTTGAAGCAGCTGTGTTCCAGGGAGAATGACTCTCCGTGTAGGGCCTTGCAGGAGCTCTTATCTCTATGATACATAGTAGAAGGATGGAAGTGTGTGTATGTGCATTATTTCCCACAAYTTTTTTGATCACAGAATTGTATCAGAGAAATCCTGAATACTTGGATGAAGTAGGTAACATCCTTYGTGGGTATCTCATATAGTTTCATTTTCCACAACAATAGTGACACAAGAGAAAAGTAGGTATGGATCCTTTGGGGACAAGGCACAATGCTTAGCAAGGGAAAGCTTTGGCATCAATAAAAGCAAGGTGTTAGGATGTTGGGAGCTCTGGGACAYCAACACTATTAAATGTTGGGACCCTATACAGCAGAACCTTTCTTGGAAGTGAAAAGGAGTATACAGCTCTCCTTTATAACTTGCACTGATTAACACACTGTACGTGTGTTTTGCCCATACCAAATTCACTGACGTAATGCAGGTGTTACTGTCTGAATTTTGAGATTCATAGCAGGCCATCAGGTTGGCATAGATGCAAAAGTGGGTGCAGTTGAAAAGGAAGGTGAAGTATTCTGGATTACCATGTCAGTGCAATAAAACGTGCTTGGGGCTCTACATACTTGTACGGGAAGAAGCAATGATATCTTTAGGTCTAGACTTCTAGGTTCCAGAAACCAGTTCTAGAACTGTGTTACTGTAACAAAGTCTTCTCACCTACAGTATCTTTCTTCTTGGGCTATATAGAAGAAGTCTTCTCTCAGAGACTTTTTTGCCTTCCATTGTCTTGACAGTCATCTGAGAAAATACAGCTGGTTTGGYCAAGGCAAGTGAAACAGTCTTCTGATTATCTGTGGGGAGTCGTAAGACATTTTTCTCTTCTTGGTCTGCTTGCTCTGTGGTTTATTAAGGAATCGTCCCACTCCTCCCATTCATAAGACTAGCAGTCATACTCTCGGCACCAGAGACTTCACTGCTGGGACCAAATCGCTTTCACAGTGGAGAGCTGCAGTGAGCCAGCGGGTGCTTCACTTGGCTCCCTGCTGTGCAGAAAATCATGTTGTGAAAGGCCAGTGTCTGCAAAAGATRCAGAGAGAGGAGTCCTGCAACTTCATTTGAATGAAGAGACAAAGTCCACTAGGCCATACTCCCTTGGGGTGTCTCTTGAGTTTTTGCGGGTGATAACAGCATCCTTTTTATCCTAAAACTCCTGGTTGCATGCTACCCTCCTCTTTTCACCCTTCAGCTGAGGTAGTAGGAAGGTACAGACTTCCCAAACCACCTACTAAATACTCTTGCTTGAACATGTATTCTCCTCATCATGCCTTGTATGGATGCCTTAAACTGGACTTGCCTGAAACAGAGGCCAGACAAAGTTAAGAGAGTAAAAGCAGACCAGTACAGGCCTACCAGTACACTGAGGGCAGACAAAAGAGTTCTCATAAGGCTGCACCCAAAATGGACGCTGAGTCACGAGATCTTCACCTTTTATAAGTTATATCTTATTAACATATTGAGCCCCAGTTTTCCAATTACACCTTCCGGTGATGATGTCAATCCCCACAAGCTTGCTTCCCCCARTTGTCTGTTGTTTACATATTTTGGGGCCTGAGGCAGTAAGGTGTCCTTGAGCTTCAGATCTAGAGAGGAACTGTTTTGTCTAAAGATGGGAGAACAGCTTTAGTGCTGTACAGTAGAGAAGTACAAGAATACAAATACAGTAGAGAAGTACAAGAATACAAATATAGAGGCTGAAAATCCTAAGGCCTCAGTATGACCATTAAAATTAGCTATAAGCCCATCCGGGATGGAACAATTAATATTCGTAAGTCTATTAGACCTGTGCATTTTCCCCTAAAGTTCAAAGTTCAAGCTTAGCTCAACTCTGCAACAAACTTGGACAGCTTGATGTTTGTGAAGACCCCYACACCCATTCTTCCAGAATGTGATTGGTCCTTTCAGATTGAGTTGTTTGTGAAGATGTTACCACCCATTTCTCATATCATTAGTGAGCACATCCACATCCATTCTTCCAGATGAAGTCATTTGTRAAGACATTACACACATTTTTCCTGTCATTATTTCTACGGTGTAGACTGTTAGCAACACTCAGAAGTAGAGAATAGATTTTTATTGTACCTTAAGAAATGTCCTGGTCAGGAGGAGGAGCTCTGCTGGGCATCACTTTGCCATCATGTGGAAAGATTGTTTCCTATAAGGAAGCAACCAATTATACTAACATATTTAATTATGTCTTGAAGGAATGTAGCCTTGAAGTATAAGCTAAGGGCAATCTGACAAAAACATCTGCACTGCACACAAGTTCTTTGTTTATGAAGGGGAAATTGTTGGCTTGCCCCCTTTCTTCTTCTACTTCTTTTGAAAACTGATGTTTCAATGGTGTTTATCTTGTGCCCTTGCATTGATAGAACAAACGTTAAGTAATTTTGTATCTTCTTTGTAGAGAAGGGAGTTTTACTCGTACTTTACTTTTGACTGGAAGTATTGGAGATATTTGAGTTATTATAGCTGTCTCTTTCTATTCTGCCCTTGCCCTCCATTTCCTCCKGTGCCACTCCAATACTGGCCTCTAATACAGTTTCTGAGTTTCAGTGGTCAGAATATAAAGTTACCAAGAATTTTGGTAAATAGTTTCAAGTAAGGAATCTTTTTGTCCCAGAAGAGAAGGAGAGGATAGCAAATACTAAAACAATCTCTAGTAAAAGGGAATTAGGTGTGTGGATTTTGCTTAGACAATTGTCCTTGGTGTCTTTGGTTGGAATTCTGCCTACTTCACTCCTGTTCATGAGAAAATGCATGAACCTGGAATGTTCTTCCTGTAGGATCATCATTATTCTCACTTTCTTTAGTAATCAGGATTTGTAAAGAGTGCTTACACGATCGCTTCTTACAAATGTGTATGTCAGAAGTCATTCAACTATTAKTCTATACTCCTGTAATTGCATCTGAATCCTGGAACAAAACTTTTATTCCTTCTAATTTTGGAGGAGGGCAACTATGCACGTTCCTTGTGGGTGAACCTACAGTAATGCACTTCAAGCAAAGGTAATTAATGAATAAACTAGATTATTCTGCTTTACATAACACTGGTTTATTCAGCTCATGAGGAAGCACTAAATTGATCTACAGAACACATAAACTCATGAGAGGCTAGTGAAAAGGAAAGTACAGGTGGTGCTTCATATGAGGTAATAAGTTTTTCTCACCAATTTCTGCCTCTTAACACTTTTCTTTCTCACACCTTTAGATATGGTCAAGACTGTCTATATTCTAGCTGTATGTCTAATAACAGGGCATGTGTTAYTGGCATAATAGAAAAATTAGATTTTTAAAATTTGGCTTCAGTGTAAAGCTGAAGAGTGATTAAATGAAGTACCACTGCTGTGTTGATGTTGATACTGTATAAAATGTATTTTTATTAACATRTTTTCTCACCACTTCTGAGTAAGTGGAAAAATTAATTTATCTGTAGCTGTGGTAAGAAACATAGCAGAAGAACTCATTGTAGGCTTGCAGATTAGCTAATTTATTTACTTCAAGTCCTTTTTATCTTTTTTTTTTTTAATCTACAGATGGTAATAGTGGTTGGAGATGTCCGGCTTGTCAGAATGCTTCTGTGCAAGTTCCTAAAATTTATACTTGTTTCTGTGGTGAGTTTCTCATGTGCTTTTGCAAAGATAAACAATTTGATAATTTTGACTCTTTTTTGTTAATATGAATTTTAGTATTGGTGCTTGTTTGCTTACATGCCTGCAATTCAAATTTTTTTATAATTTTATTGATACTGGAAGGTGGCTGCACAAAGAATCATATATATGCTGCTTAAAAAAGAATCACTAAGTCCCAAGTAGTAAATATTTTCATACCTTTATGTAAAACCAGTGATTTTTATAGAATTACGATAGATTTTGGCTGGTATCTTGAAACCTTTCCTTCTGTAGAAGGAATGGAATAACCTGCATTTGTTATGTCTTTATTTGTGTTAAGATACACCAAAATAAATACAACTCAAGGATACAACTACCTAAACTTTTAAATTAATTTAGCAATTTTGTGATTTTTGTTGTTCAGAGACACACAGAGCTTAAATGGGAAAAAATATTCAGACTGTTCAGACCTCTGTGTAGATATGTTTAATAAAAAAGATAAATGATGTGAGTACAGCATTGCCCAAGCCACAAATATAAAACAAAAAGGGAGAAATTAATTATGTTACTTAATAGCATAGATGTGAATAAGTTTTGTTTCAAATCTACGCTTCCGTAATCTGTATTGTATAGCTTTCTTTTCCTTAAATCAGAGTCACTGGAAACTTTCACCTCACTTTCTAGAAAACAGAATGTTCTGAAGTTGAGACAGAAACTGTGTATCAGTAAACTTGCCCTAGAGGAACTAGATTTGCTGAAATAGTAAAGCTTTATCTTTTTATCTAAATGTGTCAGTGAATTGGTTAGAAGCAGTGAAATGCAGTTAAGACAGATTTTTTGTATGCCGATGTGTGAAATCTTGTGAGTATAGTAATAATAACTCAGAATGAACTGACCATGAATGAAATTATGCCAAATGAAAATTAGACCTTTTAAGACAGGAAATCTGTCTGTTAAATAGGGAATGAATCCTCCTGAGCCTAAAAATCATTTCATGGTTTAGGAGATCTACAGTAAGAACTTTAAATTGTCTGCAGAATTATTATTTGCGGAGYGCCATGTTGTAACATAAGAGATTAATCCTCTGTAGATATTTTTATGGTAATGGGACATAATTTGGACATCATCAGTTGCTTATGCAAACCTTTCTTCTATTTAATGCAAAATACTGACTATGTGCTGAGTGTGGTGAACTGTGATCTTTTTTTTCACCTTTCATGAAGAAATTCCTAGTTTAGTTTTCTTCTGAAGTTTCTGATTGTTGAGGCTTTCCTGGGTGTTCAATTAGTATAATTGAAACTCAGGTAAATAAATGATATCTGTGGTGTTTATTTGTATTTTCCCAACTTAATACTTGTAGAATATACAAACGTGTACTAAAAAGTTTAAATTATGTTACTGTGTCACCAAAAATACATTTTCTCACTGCTTTTGATTGTCACAACTCAAATTTGTAGCACTGGCTCAGTTGTTCTTTCAATTCCTCTTTTGCAGAGAGCTAAGAGAGTGTTAATGATAGCAATTAACCTTAATCCTGATGATCATCTCATGCACTTAGAGCTATGAGATTTGATGACAGTGTCTCAGATTAATTAAAATATGGTTTAGTGCTTATCTATCATTCATGAAATACAGAATACTTGAAGGTAACATACTTCTTGTTTAAGAGTTCTTCTTCATTCATCAAAATTCATCAGCCTTTAATATTTAGATTAATGTAGTGTCTGCTGCTTTTTATAGAAGTGATTTTCATAATTTTCCCACTCATCTAATTCCCTGTTCCCCATTACCATACCAGCTAGATCATAATTTCCGGGAATGGAGTCCTTTTACATTCTTTTCCTTTTTTTTCCCCTGCTGCATTGAGACAGCAAGGGAGTTGCACCCTTCAGTTTTCTAAACTACTATGCAGCCTGACCAACTACATGGGGCTTTTAATTTTAAGTTTTTTATCAGTTTAATTTAATTTAAAATATCAGCTACCTACATGTCTGCTGATTTAGAATACAGAAASAATCTTTTAGAGCCTGGTATTCCGATGGTATGTTCTTTTAAAAAGTTTGGTATATTATCAGCATTGAAAATACAGAAAAACACAAACATTTTGTCTAATTTTTKTGTCAAAGACTACTTGCCAGTATTTTAAATACCATTTTTTCTCTTTGGTATGGTATTTTTCACAGATTAATCTGGTATTCAAAGGAATACATATCTTTTTGTCTTTGACGTGGTTTAGGTAAGGTGCACAATCCTGAATGGAATAGAAATGAAATTCCACATAGCTGTGGAGAACTTTGTGGAAAGAAGAGACAATGTTTGGACTGTCCACATCTTTGTAACATGTAAGTAAATGCATGTGATGTAAACATTGAAATAATTTAGAGAAAATTTCTGAAGAATGTATGTGCTTATTTTTTTACTACAAGATATGTTTAAGACATTTAGAACTTATAGAGGTTCATAGTTCAGCTGAAGCCTGAGAGAAATGGAGGCTATTTGTGTTTGTATGTCTAAAGTGAGTTTATTTGAGAGCATGAACAGGAGGTCTACAATAGTTGTAGCAACATTTCTATCATATTTTAGGAACTGAACCAGCTGTTTGACTTGGTTTCAAGAATTTTTATTGAAGTAGAGCAGTGATAGTGTATCAAAGTAATTCTGAACATGTCCAGTCTTCCACTAGGTTTTTGGTGCTGCTTTTCATTTAATAGTGTTTGAATATCTTAATTTGAGATAGTGCTCCTTTGTTAAACTGAAGGACCACTTCTTTCTGTTGTTTCTTTTTATTTTTTTTTTTGGCTTGTAAACTGTTGAGGATAAATGGCATTTGTATTTCTTTATTTGTTGAGACCATCAGAGAGTTTAACCAGAATCCCTCATGGAGATTTTAATCAGTAGATGTAACTCAGGTTGGTTTTGCTAACATTTATTAGTATAATTCAGTGAAGAGAAGCAAGGGAGAGCACTTCTATTTTCTATTTTAGATGTTTTACATTAGATTTTTTCTAGTAGTGTAGTAGCATTGCTAAGGTGAACAGGATTATATGATCTTTTTCAATGTATAAATATGCTTGCTAGTCAGAAACATAAATTATATGTTGTTCCTATTGCATCTGGCTTCAGTTTCCATGTATGAAGTTGGTCCTTAACGTCTGTTCATATTTCTGGTTTTGAAAATTTTTWACTGTCAGAAGCAGTTGTTTCTGCTCTTGGTACACAGTCAAAAATTTGAGTCATTCCAATAAATTGCCATCTGTCACTTTTTCTAGGATTTGCTAAAGCTCAGAACTTTACTCTGAAAGCTTTATTTAATGTGTTGTGTTTCAAATATATTTCAACATCTTATTGAATGACAGAATAATTCTGTAATACTTCTTTTCCATACGTGAAAATGTTGTATTAGTGTTCTTTTTGATATTAGATTTAATTTGTATTAATGTATTATGTATTCATGCACATAGATCTATATTATATTTCATTTGAGCATTATAGCTGTTTTCTTAATTCATAGAATCATGCTAGATTAGATCAACTTTCAGACTACACTTGATGTAGCTGATACCCTGAAAAGAACACCGATTGTCTTGGAGAACAGCTGCAGGCGTCTATCTCAGGAGAGGCATATATTCATTGAGATGTTTTTTGGCCAGTCAGAAATAAGCAGACTTTTTAACCACTTTGAGAACTCCCTGACTGTAGTTTGTTGCCTGACAAACTTTCCAGTAAGTCTTGGAAGCAGGTGTTCTTCTTTTCCTTCCTGTGCTAGTCTACAGCAGAGATTCAGACTTCTGGGAAGTCTTCTGAAGAGTGGAAGAGTGTAGACATAGTTGTGCCATTGGGGGCACAATTCTTAGTCTCTAATAGTCTGATCTGCATAAAAGCTGTGAAAATTGAGTCCCAATTTGTGACCAATTCTAGCATATTTAAAAATGTTATCATTCAGCCTTATATTTCACATGAATAAAACCATGATGAGATCATCCAGTCCCAGAGGTATGGCAACAGTTGGCGTGCAGATCAAGATAATGAGTGTTCTTGACACTCTCTAACTTGTGATAGTGAACAGGAGAGGAATGCACTTCCAAATTCAGTGTTTCCCAGTTTTGGACATTCCTCAATATATTTTGGCCACTTATTTTTCCCATATGAGAATCTTAGGTATTTATGAAGACACAGAYGGCCACCATCTTCTGTATCAAAAAGCAAGTAGAAACCTTTTTCCCTCTTGCTGTATCAGTGGTAGGGTTAGAGATGTAGAGCTTTATTACGCAAGTGCTGATAATGAGTCTGGATCATGATCTATTTTTGGGCAGAGATTTTCCTCAAGAGAGTGTTCAAGGGGGTAGATGTTAGCATCAGGGGCAGGAGTATATTTCATGACTCTTGCTTAAGTTTAGATATCTCAGAACTTTTTCTTGCAAGCATTTTTTTCTTTGGWTTGTGGATTTGCTGTGTGCCATTTTCCCCTGCTCCCATGTGTTCCCATAAAGTGGAAGGTTTGAACCAGAGCTGCAGTTCTGTTTGCAGGTATCCTTAGAGCTGTTTTGTTTTTCCTTTTCAACACCACATCCCATTTTGGGGAAAATAAGTAAAGGTAATTTACGCTGGTGTTCTGCCAACTAACGGGTGATTTAAAGGACACAGACACCAATGGAAAGAATGGTCTTCCTATTTTACTATGAATATTAAGGTAACACAAAGTAAAATGACACATTCGATGAAATTATGCGCTTGGCTTTAGCAACAAGCAAAATAAGCAAGGTAGCTCATGTAATCATTGCTATACAAGAGAAAATGTAAGTGATTGAGAAATATACATCACCAATTGCCTAGATACTTTACCATCATCCGGAGTCTGCAGTCGGTGGGGAGCCCCATTTTGCAGTGAGGACCCGGAGAACCATTCCCAGCAATTGGGAAAATCCTTCATGGTGTGTCCACCCATAGGTGAGGTCTCCAAATTTGCCCCAAAAATGGGTCCAGCTTTTATAGGCCCAAATCAGCAAGTTGAAGTGACTTAATTATATTGATTATGKTTTTGGTGCAGAAACACCTGAATCTGATGGTAGACTTCCCGACCAGCTGGGGCCAGGGCTTGGCCAGAGCCCAGGCCTTGGTTGGGAGGGTTTTCCCCTAAAATACACTACAAACAAGCCTCTATTCATGTCAGTAGGGAAGATTTCTTAAAATGGTACATTTATGGCAGATAACTACACAAGGTTATGTGAAAGTTTTTAAAGCAGCCAGTTTGGTGTACAATAGCTAGCATAAGTGTCTTGGTCATCTATTTTTAATTAAATAATACTGATGRCGTTAGTTACACAGTGCCCAGGATCCATCTTGTAAGTCAACTCTGGCTTTAGGCTTCTTGCTCAGGCCTAAGCATATCAAGTGGTTTAGTGACAGATGTGATATTTACTCAGATTTATTTAAGTAGTAACCATTTATATAAAGAGCTGATTTGGCAGAGCTGAGGAACAGGCAAGCAGCTGTTCAAAACAGGAATGCTTTGCGAACCTTTTGTTAGTGTTGCTCTGTGGCATGCATAGCACTTCTCAAGGTGAGTTCTCTTCACATTTTTAATATAAATAAACTGAAATTAATTTTGCGCTAATAGGTTCTACATCAAATAAACATCTAGCTTGAACTTCTATAAAATGTTCCTGCTAATAAACTTCTTTTAAGATTCTGAAGTTCTCCTTGCCAGCTGGCACTCTGCAAGGCCTTGAGAGSATTAGGTCTTACGAAGGCACTAAATGAAATTTTCTCTGTATTAATTTAAATTTTAGTAGCTGGACTTCCTTCATAGATCTTTGGTGCTGTAGTCTTTTCAACAGCAGTAGAAGTCCCTTTTTTGCTATGTTACAGTATCTAGTATTTTCACTGTCAGGGAAATGGAAGTTTAAATTTTCCTCTGTCCAGATGTGTCTATATTTACAACTTTTCTTTGTGCCAGTTCTCTAAAGCAATAAATTGCAAAATACTTATCCATGGTAATGATCAATAATGAAGTTTCAGTAAAAATAGAACTCTGCATTCATGAAACATAAGTTAATACTGAAGTCTTTAGCCTGTTTTTTTGAGTTTAGTTAGCAACACTAACTAAAGTCATTTAACTTAGCTTTTTGCTTAATCCACTAAATCAAGATTAAAACTCTAAAGGTATCACCCATCTTTATAATTTAAATAACATTTTCTACACTTCCCATGCATGTCTTTCTGTTGAATGAAATTTGAATTTCAGTCTTAACAACATTGTGTGGATCAAGTAAATCCTAGAACTGTAGACTTACTGTAGCTTCTGCTTAAACCAAATCGTACCAGAGACTTCATTGCGTGTATTTGTAGGGATGCATAAAGAATAATTACCTTTAAAGTAAAAATTTTGATGTCGAAGCATTAATTTTTGCATAACTAGAATTTTTCTGTTCAGAAACACATTGTCAAAACTTCAAGATGTCWGAAAATTATTTGTGCGATACTGTTCTAACAAAGGAAATCTTCCTGTAAGACTGCAGTATACTATTTACCAGTATTTACAACTTAAAAATATTTGTGATCATTATAAATTGCTGTTGTGTGATACAGTATCATCAGAAGGTACGCCAGGACTGGGGTTAGGGAAGAAATCTTAACATTACTTGAATATGAAAATTTTGAGACAAATTATATATCAGATAAAAAACCTAACATGACAAGACTTCTGAAGATTATGTGCCTTCTCGCTTTTCCAAGTTACGACCTAGGTCATARTATTTGTAATTTATGTCTACTTTAATCTGTTTCCTAAATTTATAATTTGGCATCCAGTCTTTAGCATYCTACATGGATCTCTGAGAATTGAAGTTAAGACAGTGAAATATATAGTGCAGTCCTTTTACAAGAGGTTCTCAGTTGCAGAATRCATTTTAATACTTATTGTCAGAAGTTCCATGGTTTTCTTTAATTCAGTGATTGTGCTTTCTTCCTGCTTTCCTGTGCATCCATCCAGTTTTGTGTCTTTTCTCCCTTTCCTTGTGCCTGCTCTGGTGCTTTTTCAACTACTCACTATGTCATAAAACTGACTTGCCAAAGATCAAGGATTGTGATGTTTTTGGTTGGTTGTTTCTTGGATCTGCTTTATGAGATGGGATTTTTTTWAATTGTTTTGAATTGATTTATTGTGTAATTGCTTGGCTTTAATGTTAGAGCTGGCATAGGTTGAGTGATAGATCAGGCCTTATTGTCAACTTGGAGGAGTGGTAGAAGAAGAAAGGAAACCAGACCACTGTTGACAAGCTGGAGGTATGACTTAACTATATAGCATATGACTGTAGTAACTGGTGTACTAATTAGTACTTGTGTAGTTACTGTCCTTAAGGAATTTAGTAGTTATTGTGTAACTAGGTAGTCTGTGTTTATGGGGTTTTCTGATGTTTCTGGGATTTTTCTTTTTCTTTTGGCTAGGATGTCTGTGCTGGTTAGTCCTAGCTAATAATAATTGCTCCACATGAGAGCTGCTGTATTTGCAAATGAAGGGAACTGGGAGCTGGCTAAGGAAGAGTGCAGATGAGATAGGTGTAATTTCACAAATCTGGGCTTGTCTGCACTGGGCTAAGGTGTTAAATGCATATAAGGGAACATCTAGTGTTTTTCGAAATAGGARGTAAGATCTCATGTAAGGTAAGATAATCGTGTAAAGGACTGGCACTGATAATGTTCACAGGAAATTGCCCTTGATGGTAAGAAAAAAAAAAAAAAMCCAACTGAGGCAGACTTGGTGTGTCTCCCATGTGTTACCTTACAGGTAGAGGAGAAGCACCTCTTATTGGTGGCACGAGAAGTGCTAAGTTCAAAGCAAAACCACCAGCTCAGAGTAAAGAAGGCTTTATCTGTAATGTGTTTAAGATCACCAAAGAAAGAAATATGTTAATGGTTTGGACATAAAATGATTGTTTTGGGTTATCAATGATGAAAACAGTTGAGTTGATGCATATGTGGTGGTGAAATGCAAAATATCAAATGTGTTGATAGCACAATTTATTTGTTAGTAGTATAGTTAATTTGACAGCAGCAGAATACTTTTTTTCTTCCTTCAACATTAGTAGTCTTTGAGACTGATGCACCTGTAATAAGTAATTTTTTCTTGTTTTAAGAATGCTTYCCTACCCTCCTGGAGTGAGTGTGGGAGTCTTGTATAATATTCTGATAATGCACTGGGTCATGGTGGATTATGTTTCTGGGAGTGTGATAAGTGTAAAGTTAACTTGGCTTTTTTGACTTACTTTTAAGTCTGTGCCACCCAGGACCTTGCCCTTCATGCCCAGCCTTTGTGACAAAAACATGTGAATGTGGACGAACAAGGTAAGAATGCTTCTACTATGCGAACTAAAACAAAAAAGTTGAGTTATTAACAAACAAAAGAAGAGTTWAAAATTTTATGTACTATTTTTTTCTTTCCTATAGTTTATTAAAAATATGCTGAACAGCATTTAATCAGAGCTGGAACTTTTATTTGTGGTTAAAATAATTTGGAGAATTTAATATTTTGAAAAAATGCAGTTATTTTTAACTTTTCAAGGAAAAAATCAAAATAACAAAAAAATTGCTTGTCAGCTTATGATACCTGTAGCTGAATTGTCTGAGCAGTCTGTGAATTTATTTGATTTTGAAATCCTGTACTAGTGTTTATTTTTTTTTTTTGCTAGAAGACTCAGAAAAATTAGTAGAAAAAGGTTCACATATTTTCTCTCTGAATGGAATGTGATTTTGAATTACTTGTTTCCAGAAATAATAATTTCAAAAATGACATGTGCTTTTCTCAGAAACTGTACAGAGAAGTCTGTAGTGTRTTCCAGACTTGAAATCTATTTTTTCTATGTATATTTTGGTGCCTGTAGTGTCATTGCCAATAGCAATATGTTACTGAGTATACTGTGTGTRATCTCTCATGATCTCTCATAATCAGTTGACCTGAGTCTTTAGAATCCCTTTTTCTAGTTACCTAGAACTGATCCTGTGTAATAAATTGTTTGCCTGAGCTTTTTTGCAGAATGAAAACAAACATAAACTGATTTCAATGTTAGCATTCTTGCTCTGGAAAAAAGATTTTTCAGACTTTTCCAATTATTTCTGAGAGTTTGAATCTAATACTACACAATCCTGACTTTTCAGTAGAAGGTACAGAGATTTCTGTGGCAGTATTTGTAGTTAAAAGCACTTTGTCATTGATAGAAAAACTGATTGCTTGTAGATTACTGAATTATGTGTTCCATAGTAATACCACCTTCTCTTACTGTTTTGGGGGTTTGGCATCACTGATGTTAAGATAATTAAAGTTACTGTTTCAAATATGCATTTTACAGCCATTGTATGAGACAGACAGAGTTGAAAAAATAGGAGAATTGGTTGTTTTGTCCCATTTTTTTTACAATTTAATTAAAAATTCAGTTCTTTTCATAGACTACTGACCCACTTTTAAGGCCCATATCCCTATCTTCATTGTGCTCTATGGACTCCAGATTGTTTATGTCTTCTGAAAGATGTCTGTATTAGAAATACCTGTTTTTCTGACAATGCATGTATGAGTTCATATACTAGGTTTGAGTTTTAGTGTCACCTTGGGTTGTTTTCCCCTGTTTTGTTCACGAAAAATTCTGTAGACTGACTACTGTGATAGGTGTTCTGCTTTAGTGAGATGGAAGAGGGGAAGCAAGGGAAAAACCAGGAATGTTATTTTCAAAAAACTTTCGTTAATAAATTTTGCTGCCTTTTGAAGATTTTGGCATTTTGTTGAAAATGTATTTCCCTTTTTATTAAATACTGTATAGATGTAAAGGYAGCTGACAGGCTATGGTGTCATTTCTCTGCAGTCATTCAGTTCGCTGTGGCCAATCAACAAAAATCCATTGTTCCAATGTATGTGGAAATACTTTAAACTGTGGTAAGCACAGCTGTACTCAAGTGTGCCATGCAGGAAAATGTTCGCCTTGCCAGTTAACAGTACAACAGGGTAAGTACTGAAATGCTTTATGGATATCCACCCTATCCAGTGAAAACAAGAGGTTGATAAAAAGCCAGTACCAAGAGGCAAATGCCAGTTTTTACACAACCAAAATCTGTTGTTGGAATCCTGCCATGAGATTAGGCTGTTGGAGCATGTGCATTAGGCTGGTGATACTGGTACTTYGTTAACTTGAGAAGGCTGAGTAGTGACCTTTAAGTAGCTAATAAGTAATTTAAGAAGACAGAGATGGCCTATGCATGGGCCTATGCATGTGTGAAGGGTAAGAGACAATGAGCATAAATTCCTTGTAACTAGCTTAAGGAAAACCTTTTTTCTTGGATTAAGACCCATCTGAATAAAACACTGAGTAACAGTGGTCTGATCTCATTGCTGACTGTGCTTTAGGTCAGGGCTTGGACTAACTAATTCTTTCTTACCTGAATTGTCCTCTGATCCTACCAAATCTTTTACTGTAAGAATTAATTAGACAGTACCTGGAAGGAAAATAGAAAAAGGTACAGGAAAGCACATTTCAACAAGCTTCTCATGAATTCTGTTAAAATTTTCTGAACTTGGCCTCAAGTGGAAAATTAAATTGACTGAATATGTATGCCAGTATACAGATAACTTTATGGAACAGTTTATATAGAAAATTGCAAGTTAATTTTCTCAACTTTTGTGGTAATAATCAACTTGTTATGTATACTGCTTTAATAAATACATTTTTTGTGCACACGGCACCTCTTTACCAAAACAATTAATGCTGGAATTTCAACTTCTGTATGATGAAAAACCTTCATTGATGAAATGAATCCAAATAGGAGMAACTTGCTTATCCTTCTAAAAATTGACTGCAACAGTTTCTCACTTTTTACCTTTTTATATTTGCTGGAGGTGTTTTGTCATTGATATTCTCTTGTTTTCTTTTTTGTGGTATATCACTTTCTTTCAGTGTGTTACTGTGGMAGCAACTTTAAAGAATTATTGTGTGGGTCAAAAGAAGAATTCTCTGACGGTTTTGGGAGTTACTCATGTCAGAATATATGTGGCAAGTAAGGTCACTATAACTTCAGCTTTTAAAAAGAGAAAGGTCATTCGATTCACAATGACTTACTACGATACTCTTAGATAATTTCCCTTAAAWTTTTTTTCTTTTCTCTTTTGTTTCTTTGATTTTTTTCCAGAAAATTAAATTGTGGGAGACACAACTGTAAGCAAGTATGCCATCCTCAGCCTTGCCAGCTCTGTCCACGACTTCCGCAAGTAGTATATCGTTGTCCCTGTGGTCAGACTCCTCTCAGCAAGTTATTGGAACTAGGATGTGTTGAACGTAAAATTTGCACAGATCCTATCCCATCTTGTGGAAAAACATGCGGCAAACCTCTTTCTTGTGGTAGCTATGGTAATTAGAAACTTCTGTATCAGAGTATTCAAAGTATCTCATAGTGTCACTGAGATTCACTGAAAGTCAGATGAATAGAACTCCTTAAGACCAATGTAGCATTAAGAAGCAGGCATTCTTTATTGTGGCGCCAGATGCAGAGGATAGCTCCATGTGGCATGCATTTCGATTCTCTGCAAGCACGTTGCTTATATACCCTCATTRCATGGATATGCATCATTTATTATTATTGCTCATTCCTGTAAAACCCTCCCCCTGGCTCAGTCTTTTTACTGTCTTATTTTGGCTGTGGTTGCATTCCTAAAGCAGGTGTACTGCCACCAATCCCTTTATCTTCCTTCTGTCCTTGCTCATTAAGAGGTCCTGCAGACCCTGTTTCTTGTTAAAAGCATACAAACACAGTCCTTGTTCTTAGATTAACCCTTTGATATCAATAGTTTTGGAAACAAACAAAAAAAAACTAGTCCTTAAATGTTTAATTTCAAGAAATAAATATTTTGTTACCGATTTTGAGTTTTAACCAAAATGAGAGTAAGAACCGTTGCAGAGCCTGCAGTCTGGATGTTTGTTCATAATAATGCTTTAAAATCAGGAAATAAAACACAGCTGCACACAAGCTTAGTATCTTTGATCAGTAATGCTCCTAATAGATATGAAGTTCCAGGTTGTAGATTATTTTTTATTCTTAATATTTGAATTTTTATTTTGCTAGAGTTCGTTCATACATGTGAAAGCCTGTGCCATGAAGGAGACTGTAGACCATGTTCTCACACATCAAATATTTATTGTAGGTGTGGCTTCAAGAAAAAGGTGAGTATGTAACCATGGAAACAGGTAATCTTTGCTCCTTTTTAAAGCTGTGGAGAAAAAGGAGCTGAAGAAGCGTAAGGGTGCTGTGCTCTTTAGTTGCAAGAACCTGCATTATATAATAAGTGATAGATGGTAACTAGTTTATTCTGTGAAGTGATAATATGCTATTTACTGTGAACACAATTTTGAAGTATTTTTGCAGAGTTTGCACAGAGTTCTATTAGTGTAAAGAGTCTGCAAAATCCTATATTATYCTGAAGTATTTATACAGCGCAAAGAATGGTAGTTTTGCAAAGAGTAAAGCAAAACTGAGAGAAGAAAGCCTAATTAAAACTATATAGTAGTTGCTTGTAGACTCCTTGTAGAAATTTTTGTAGAAGACTATGGTGTTACTGATTCCCATTCTTTGTACATTTACATAGTGATTCTGCAGATCCTCAGCTATTGTTGTTTAATGTTTATTGTATTTTTAAATGATGCTATTTTCTGTAATCATAGCTTTGAAATTTTTGGCTGCTATCACAGAAGCTTTGATGACTTTTCTGACCTGTTACATATCGTCTGCAAGTAGAGAGGGCTTATGGGTATGTAAGTCTGTAGGTATWTAGATATGAGTGAGAGTTTGCTAGAGGTTGGAACAGTTTTCTCCTACAAGTTTRCTGAAGGTAGTTATGGGGTAGAAGGCTTCAGATTGTAAAGTAGGTTTTGGCTTTAGTTTATGAAGTTTGTCACACATCCGAAAGATGCATCTTAAACAAGAGTGAACTACAGTGATAATTTAAATCAATCATGAAAAAATGTGTTACTCACAAGTGACAGCTCAGAATATAAAGTTGTAGTGACTGGTTCAAATATCAACAWCATTATTTTTATACATCATTTTATTTTCATGTTGAGGTCTTCAGATGTAACTTTGTAGCTTATAAGATTTGGCATCTTCCTTTCTTCCGTCAATCTTGCATTTTTGGGGCAGTTGGTCAAAGCACAAATTTATGCACTTTGTCAGTATTCCCTGGGAGAGCTCTATTGGTTTCTGTTACAAAAGTTTCTGGTTTCTTAGGACAAGCCTGATTTTCTCACTTTACAGTGACACTTAATTCTGCTGAATTAAATAGGGAATACAAAACTACCATTTTTAAAAATTGATATTGAATATTTAAGGAATAAATATTGTGTTAAAAGATTTGAGGATTTTTTTTCGCAGTTTTTATTTCACTTTTGTGTACAAATATACTACACACATGGAAACTGAGTGTGCTGCTTCCTTCTTGTGACCAAGTGTTTTCTAGATAAGCGTGTTTCAGTTTCATCTGTTTTAACCTTATGGCTCCCTGTTTGTTTCCTAGGAAGTCCCATGTGCTCTTCTCAGAAATAAAGGTACAAGTTATTATATGTATATAATGTGAAATTGTTTTAAAAATTATACACATCTTATAGTAATCTGAAGTTTGACTAAGTTGGCAAACAGCTGATCTGTACCGCATCTTTTATCCATACTTCTATGCTAAGTAGGTTATTTCTGCTGCTTGTTGGTGATACTGTCATGTTGCTATGTTTGGGAAAAGATTTGAAGTATCTTTTTTCATTCAACTTTTACATAAGGAAAGACTTCTTCACATTTTATCTCAAGGATATCAGACAATGTGTGTTTTATTTTGAACAGTTTCTTATGCCACCTGCCATATTTGATAGGTTGCCATCCCCCTCCCCCGTCATCCTGTATAACTTTTGGTCTACTTGCACTGCCCAGATTCAGTGTAATAGTTTTGCTCTGTTCTTGCCTATGTTTCTGGGGAAAKAGAAGCTTTGATTCTACTTCACATTGTATACTGCTGTATTTTGCTTTCCAAGGTCCTTTCAGATAAGGGTTTTTTTTTTTTTAAGAAGGCAAGTGCCCAAATGAATTAAATGGCRGAGAGAAAGTAATTTAATAGTTTGCTTGCTGGCTTACCCTGTATTAGTCTCTCCTAGACCATGCCCTGCAACAGCCTTAGCATAATACTGTGATTGTAGCTTTTGTTCTCAACATAAGCAAAGACCTAAAAGTTAGGACTTTTGGGGGCCTTTTTTTTTGTTTTTAATAGCTGCTATTACATTCATGTGTGACAAGCGATGCAATCAGAAAAGATCATGTGGACGACACAAGTGTAATGAAGTTTGCTGTGTGGTAAGTGTACATGTGGTTTTATAAAATTGTTTGATGTGATGTGTGTTTGATTTTGGCTGTGATGTTAACAGTCTTTTTTGCTTTTGTATCTTTCCATTTTTCTGCATCTTCATYCTCTATTTACAGTATTGGTCATGCTCAAAACATTTGTGTGTCTGCATTTATTTTGCAAGTTTTGTTTTATAGGTATCATTATAAATGTAAAACCACGTTCCATCCTAAATGCAGTTAAATGAGCATAAAGGTGCTTTTTGTCAATGCAGTGATTCCAGGGAAAATGGAGAGGGGAAGCACAGTACTTAATAGAGGAACCATAAACTGTGTAGCTGCAACAGAGGTCTTAATAGAGTCTGCTTGAAAARTTGTGTATCCATATAGTGATGGAAAAACTGTATAGATCTGGTGTAAGCTATTTTTTGCACTATACAGTTTTGTCTATTATTAGCAGTAGATTGTGACCTCAGAGAGAATAAAATAACTACTAAGGCTTATAGTTCAATTCTTTTTCTTTTTTGCCTTCTCTTAGGACACAGAACATAAGTGCTCTTTGGTGTGTGGTCGTAAACTCAACTGTGGGCTTCATAGATGTGAAGAACCCTGCCATCGGGGCAGTTGTCAAACATGCTGGCAAACAAGTGAGTTATGTTCAAGAGTATGTAATTGTTATTCATTATAGAAATATATTAATGTATCTTTCTGACTCTGACCAGTTAATGTGATCTTTTTCAAACTGATGAAAAGGAGAAAGATGGGTGATACAGATTGTAAGGATACTGCTTTCAACTCCAAATATCTTACCTGCAATAGTACATGTGGTTGTCCTATATTATATGCACATGGACATAGTTGAAAATYTCCCTTTTATGGAGACCAACATTTCATGTAAACATCCTGGAAAAGAGAAGGTGCTAGAGCCTCTTAAGCTCACTGTGCTTGAAATAGCATTGTAGTCTATCTTAATAGCCTATGAATATGATGTGCATGTTGRCTGTACCTCTCTTTAGAAAAAGAAATATTTCTGTGTTCAAACATTTCTCTTTGTAAAGCAAAATAGTAATCTTAATGTCTCAGAGATCCTGTTAATAATGTCTGGTTTAGTTTAGTCAGAATGCGCAGATTTTTCTGGGCAGTTGTTTTTCTTCACTGAATTCCCTGGGTTTAATATTTAAGGTCATTAAACTTCTCCACATTACTGCAATATTTTTGAGGATTGTATTTCACTCTAAGATTAAAGGAGACCTAAGGATTGTCTCTGTGGTTGAATGGGATGCCTCCACTGTAAATTGCTCCACTTGAACGTGATACAATCTTGAGGTCAATCTTCCCTGCTGAAATTTTGCAGCAAAGCCCTTTTCTGAATACAGGAAAAGCAGTTACCTACTTCAGGAGCCTGATAATTATGTCATTTGKCTTAAACCACTGTGTCCCTGAAGTTTCCCATTCTGAATCTGTCCAGAGATTAATCAACTGAGCAGTATCTTTGAGGATTTGTTACCTCCTTTCTCTGGATGCTGCTAATTGAGATTTCAGAGGTATACATTGATTTTGTATGATTCGGACCTTGTAGTTGATGGTGAGTCCTTCTCATCACTAAGAAGGCCATTCTTGACTCTGATTCACCTGTCTAGCTAACACTTTGCAATTGGTTTGTATCAGTCATGGTATCAAATGCCATTGCCTGGTCAGCTGTAAGTCATTTGCCTGCTCATTGGATTGGATTTCTTGCCCCTRCTTCCATCTCCACTACTTTTTTGCTATGAATGGTGAGGGCTGACAACAAGATGCAGTGCTAAACTGCATCTACACCTCTGTGTTCTTCCCAGGTACTTTAGTTTTCCAGTGTAATTTCCTCAGTGCTGATAAGTCCCTTTCTGTGCCAGGGTCTCTTTATGCTTACCCAGTGTACGTCAAGACAGGAGTACATCTCTTGGGGAAAATAAATAATGTCAGCATTAGAGACAGTTCATTTAAAAAAAAATGTTTTCAGATACTGTATTTCTGCTCTTTGGATCAACTCTCTCTGCACTCTGTCCCTATTATCCTGATTAGTACAAGTAAGGGATTTAACATTATAAGATTCTTCACCTGTCCATTCTTATCAATAGCAAGCAACCAGTGTAGCTGTCTAACATTCAGGTCTTCCAGAGACCTTGGTGTCTGGTCTTTCATCTGCCTGGACTAAGGAAGATTTGTAGCTTTGAAGTGTAGTTTGTTTCAAGACTTGTAGTGAGGGACAAGAAAGTACTACTCTTTCGTGTGCTTCCTTTTCACAGAGGGTTCATGGACATTCTGAATGTTTTCTATTTCACTTTCTACTTCTTCCTTCTAACCTGTAACAATTTGTTCTCCCCAGCATTCTTATTTGCTGGAATTTGTTGTAATTTAGTCTCCTTAGACAAAAATTGCAATTCGTTTTATAACTGCTGTACTTTAGGATACATGAGCAAATGAGTAGGACCTGGCCTGAGATTTAACTGATGGAACAGGTCATGAAAAATAGCCAGACCTGAGAAACTCCTCAATGTAACAAAAAAACACTGAAAAGCTGAAAAAAGTTAGGAAATTTCTTATCTATTCCTCACCCATAAGGGTGAGAGATGTCTGAGCTTCATAAGTAGTTGGAGGAGGAAGTATAGGGAACCTTTTTGGGAGTGGAATTTCACAAGGCCAGCAGAACTTTGATAGTTGTGTGATGCTGGTGTAAACTTACTAATGATAGCAGAAATAGCAGATCTGGGTACAGATGTAGCTGAACTGGAGCTAGTCGGTGTACTGGGTTTGCATCTAGGTTTTGGAAGCAAGGGGCTGCAGGAGGAGCTTCTGTGAGAAGCTGCTGGAAGCTTCCCCTCTGTTTGGCAAAGTTAATGCCAGCTGGTTCCAAGATGGATCCACCATTGACCAAGGTCAAAACAATCGAGAATGACAGGAACACCTCTGTGATAACATATTTAAGAAGGAAAGAAAGTTATTGAACAAATGTAATTGCAGACAGAGAAGAGATGAGACAACTATGCRGRCACTAAGGTCAGTGGAAAAGGAGGGGGGAGGAGGTGCTCGGTGCTGAAGCAGAGATCCCCCTGCAGCTGTTGGGGAAGACCGTGGTGAAACAGCTGTGCCCCTGCAGCCCAGGGAGGTCAACAGGGATACAGAGATCCACCTGCAGCCCAGAGGAAGCCCACACTGGAGCAGATGGATGCCCAAAAGAGGTTGTGAACTGGTGGGAGCCCTGTGCTGAGCAGGCTCCTGGCGGGGAGCTGCAGACCTTTGGAGAGAGGAGCTCACACTTGAACAGGTTTCCTAGTAGGACCTGTGACCTTCTGTACGGGGACCCACACTGGAACAGTCTTTGCCTGAAGGACTGCATGCAATGGAACAGTACCTGCACTGGAGCAGTTTGTGGAGAACTGTTGCATGCGGGATGGACTCATGTTGGAGAAGTTAATGGAGGGTTCCACATGGGAGGGACCCAGTGCTGAAGCAGGGAAAGGATTCTTCTCCCTGAGCATCATCAGGAATGTGTGATCAGCTGCCAGAACAATGTGTGATCAATTGGCTGTAACCCATATTCCCTATCCCCCTGCGCCCCTGGGGGACAGGAGGTAGAGCTGGGGAAAGAGGGGAGGAGTTGGGTAAAGGTGTTTTTAAGGTTTATTTTGCTTCTCGATGTCTTGCTCTGATTTTATTAGAAATAAATTCAGTTAGTATCCCCAACTGAGTCTGTCTTGCCTGTGATAGTGTTTGGTGAGTGACTTCTCTTGGTCCTTAGCTGATGAACCGTTCATTRTATTTTCTTTCCTGTGTGTGGAAGAGAGTGATAGAGCAGCTTTGSTGGGTGCAGGGCATCTGGCCAGGTTCAAGTCACTTAAAGTGACTGAAAAAATTAAAATTAAAGTGACTTGGGGAAAAATTTTTTTTGTTAGATTATTTGGGAAGAATCAAGGTGTATGCATGGACTAATRAAGGGAAGGCAGAATAAAAAGACACCATTTGTAAAATGAAGCTGTTGGTCAACTTACTTATCTGATAKAGATCTGTGCACCTCATGTCTGTTGTCTGTGATGTCACAGTTAAGATTTTTTAGTTGTTCATAGTTAATGTCTTCTAGTGTAGTCTCATTCTCTGTTCAGGTGGTGAGAGTTCTTGAGTGTCAGCAGCTGGAGACTTGTGTGCCGATCATGGGAGCTCACAGTCCTTATGCTAGCCACTGAGAGACCAKATTGATGTATACTGTGTGCTAGCAGCTGAGATCATAAGCCCAGCTTATAGGAGCCCCTTGATCTGGATGCCAGCGTATGGAAAGATTGAGGGTTTGTGTGCAATTTGCTAACAAGCTTGCTTCGAAGTTGGATTAMATAGCTACTACGAAGAGATGTGCCTCTGGAAATACCCTAGGTTTCAGCCAGTGCCTGGAAAAGGAGTCTCTTCAAGCATGGATATTAGACATGGCCTGTGCTAGCATTTCAGATTCATGAATGTGGTGTGCATGTGACTTTGGAGTGAACTCTGTGTGTGTGGGTGTGTGTGTRTATGTGTTATAAGCTTCAATCCTGATGAGCTGAAGAGGAGGAAGAGGACTTAGCTATTGATATTCCTCTTTACATGAATCTTGTTCAGTTGCCTTTGTGGTAGTCTGTGTAGCTGGTCATGTTATTGCCATGTATGTATTGTGTGTCTTGTCTCTCTGGAATGTGTGTTCAGTCTTGCTGTAGGCTGGACCTGCATGTTGATCCAGCAGCCATCAATGTCTATAGAGGTGGGCCAGTGGGAACATTTGGGTGTTTAGAGGTCAACAGGTCTTGCTTTGGTAGACTAGGAAGGAAGAATCTTGTTATTCCAGAGTTAGAGAACTTGCTGAATTCAGAAGCTCCCTTAACACACTCATCTTCTCTTCAGGTTAGAATTGTTGTTTTATATTTTTGTTTCCCCTTTATTCTCTTGCCTCTTCCACCATTTTCTGTCATTCTCTCTGATCCACTACCTCTTTATTCATACCTAGACAAATCATATTCTCTTTTTTCTCTCAAATCTTCTACATGATATCAAGTGTTTTCTTAGTGTTCTGTTTTTCTGAGCATTTATCTGCTTAACTGTAGTTTGCTACAACTGTAGTTTGATTCCAATCAGTTTCCCAGTTTCTTTACAGTCTGAAAAAAAGCAGTGAATTTTATTAATTTTTGTGCAGTGTTTGATTTTTCATTGGGTTGGTGCATGTAAATACTTTTATTACTTTATCACTAAGATTTGGATCTTATAAGAGTTTAAAACTTATTTCCCAAACACAAAAGATAAAAAAACGAACACTGAATAAAATGGATACTGTCTGAGACAGAGAACTTGCAAAACACAACAAGTTGGATTTTAAGTATTTGGAAAGGTTCATAAGATGTTTGTGAGGATCCATGTAATACTAAATGGCATAAAGACTTGCTGTCCTTTGGTAATTTTCTTTGGAATYTTTCTGGTACTACATTCACTGCTTGGCAGAACGACAAAATCTAAACACTGGTCTGAAAAGTGATGTCAGGGGGAAGTTTGGAACACAAAATATCAATCATGGGCCTTCTGGAAGGGAATTCAAGATACCTCCCCTTTTTAAAGTCAAATGTAAAACAGCAAAGCTTTTAACTTCACATGAGCATTTTGCTTGCTCTRGTTCAAAATGTTGATGTCAAAGAACCCCTCTAAAAGTGAAGCATAATTCCTAACCAAGTCATCATAGTCAAATTTTCTTGTAYGAGCCATGAAAGCTAATAAATTCACTAATTTCAAATATTAGTGCTCAATATTAAAAAAAACCCCAAAACTGGAGTAAAACATTTGCATGTTATGTAAAGATTTCTCAGAGGGGAAACATGCATATACATGTAGCCATTAGGATATATTTGACTTTTTTATTTCAGGTTTTGAGGAGTTAACTTGTTATTGTGGTGAATCTGTGATTTACCCTCCTGTTCCCTGTGGCACTCAGCCACCAGAGTGTAAAAAGACATGCACCAGGCCACATGACTGCGATCATCCAGGTAAGTCAGGCTATTTGATTTTGATTGGGGGCTTTTGGGGTTTTGTTATTGTTGGTTGTCTGGGGTTTTTGTTTGGTTGGTTTCCTGTGTGGTTGTTTATTTTTTAAATTTCAAGTTCTTTTAATCAAAATGTAGAAAAGCRTATATAGGTCTATTTGAAAATAAATTTACAACAGTCTACACTTAAAAGCCAGCCAGCTGAAAATTTGCAGTGAATACTACTACTTCTCATTGTTAAAAGCACTGCGTTTTTTCTGATTGTTATTAATAGTCACGACATACTAAATGCTGTATTCCAAAAATCAAATATATATTGAAACAGTAGGCTAATCTAGTGAACAATTGGTTTCTGTGTTCCTTGGAATTACATTGGCTGATCACAAAATAAACAGCACAGGTCAAACAAATAGTTTCTGACAAATTCTGCCTGAGAGTATAACCCTAATCACAAGTTAGAAAATTACCTGCTATTTAATTTAGAAATTACAGAGAAACAGTTGCCTTCACAATTTTTAAAGAACACTTTATTCTTGTATGAAGCATAATCCTTCCCATAAATTGTGTAGTTTTGAAATGCAAACTCATGCTTAATACTTTTTCCTTTAATGCATTCAACTCAAGTATTAATAAAACTGTTATGACTCTTATATTTCTGTGACTGCAGTGTACCATTCATGTCATAGTGAGGAGAAATGTCCCCCCTGTACCTATCTCACTCAGAAATGGTGTATGGGCAAGCATGAAGTAAGTCTGGACAATTCATGTTTTTGAATACTAAACGATTTTGTAGGACTGTAGGCTTAGATTTTTATGGCTTCTTTGGAATGGAATGTGTTGCTGGARTTGGAGTTTAATGTGATTAAATTGATTGGAGAAGTATATCTTTTATTCCATATGCATTCAAACCTACTGCTGTATTGGACTATGCTATAAAGTAAAACTCATTCTTTGACTGAAGATCTTTTAGTATTAGGATTYTTATGTGGACAGTGCCAAATGAAGGTGTGAATAGTAAAAGAACTTTAAAATTTTCAYTGGTAATTTTTACTGTTAGTTATCATCTTTTTCCTTTCCTCTTCCAGCTGCGAAGTAATATTCCTTGTCATCTCACTGACATTTCCTGTGGACTTCGCTGCAATCAAATGTTAAAATGTGGAATGCACAAGTGTAAAAGGATCTGTCATAAAGGAGAATGTCTTATAGATGAAGAGTGTAAACAGCCATGTATTATTCCAAGACTGTATTGTAATCATCCGTGTATGGCTCCATGTCATCCTTCTTCACCCTGCCCGGCAACATCCTGCTGTGCAAAGGTTAGATATCCAAAGAAAATTCACTGTAAAGTCACAGGGCAATTGTATGGTTTAATTATCAGCCAGTAACAGTTGTGACATGTTTGTATTTTGATAGCATGACATTTTTTCTGTAAACTTAAAATACTGATCTTTTTAAAATAAAATTAGTCATCACTTCTAGTTAGCCATTATTCCACTAAAATGGGAGTTCTACAATGAATAAATTTATATCCTTCACACCCCTCCATGGCCATAAAAACCAGAACTTTAAAAAAGCTGCTCATTTCTGTGATATGGCAGGTTGATCTTCTGTGTGAATGTGGAAGAAGAAAGGAGAGTATGATTTGCTCAGAAGCAACTAATACATATCAAAGGTTGGTACAGTAATAATTCTTTCAGTTCCTTACCAGACTTACTCTTTCRCATTTTGATTAAATTGCAGACTTAGTAAATATATTTAGTTCACAAGTTTTTAAAGTGTTTTGTTTTGTTTTTTTTTTTTTTAATATATAGTGTGATAGGTATTTCCTTGAGCTTTCGTACCAAATATGCTATATTAGAACACATTTCTTTTTTTACTGTTGTTAGTCTAATTGTGGTGGTGTTTCAAAGCTTGACTGTCCCATATGTGGAACTCTCTTCTACCCTCACAGAGCAATTGGGTACAGACTAATTTGTCAAGTCCAGATTCAGGTTCCTGAATGTAGGTGATTGCAGTCCATGTGTGACTTGCTGTCTAAGTTTCCAATCATGTCTGATAGAACCTAGTCAATAGAGATGATGGATGCTAAAGATTGATTTAAAGTAATTCTGAAATAGCTGATTTTAGGCAGGAGAGCTTTGGCATCTAAATCTTGGTTTTACTATGCAAACGGAGCCCTACCCAACTCCATTTATTACAATAGTCTCCAGATCCTAACTAGTTTCTCTCTTTCATATGAGACAGAGAAAGGACTGGACAAGGAAAAGAAAAATCGGGCTTTGGAACTTTTGAAATTATTATAGCAGAAGATAATAATAATAATAATAATAATTTAAAAAATCTTATTCTGAGACTATGATTGAAAGGCAGCTAAAAATGTTAATCTAGAGAGTTGATACATGATCAGAGTTCTGCTCTGTATCCTAGTTGTTAGGCAACCAAAGTCAGAGATTCTTCCTGTTTTTCAAAGAAAGTTTCTTAATTATGGTTTTATTTGGAACTGGTATCTGAGGGCCTTTTTTTATCCTAGCCCAGCTTAGGGTATGCTGCTTTGTTTCTACTGAACCACTGTCCGTATTCAAGTTCTGACAGAAGATGGCTTAGCATAGGCACTTAATATTACCAAATGAAAATAAGGAGAAAAGTGTGCTAATCAAACAATTAAGAACAGCTGTAGCCAGTATTAAGTTGAATGCAAGATACATGTGAAGGAGTTTGGTATTTTTAAGATCTATCTCATTGAATACAAATCAGAAGACTGACTCAACTTTGAAACACCAGTTTAAATTGGCAGATGCTTGTCATTAATGATAAGTTCAGAAGATAACATGCAAGTCCAGATTCTGGAAGGCTTTTATTTTTCTGCTGTTTTATAGCTCAGGCACTGCAAACATATTCATGCTAGGAAAGTGGTTCTTTGAAGCCAATGAGAGTTCCTGCATGCGTAAGGTGAATACGTATGTATTTATTTCTCTAATTGGAGCCTAAATCAAGAGGAAGGGAAAGAAACTGCTCTGTTTAAAGCAAGTGTTTGTATCAGTTAAAATGTGTTCATATGTGCTTACAAATTACTATTGACTCATGATAGTAGCAGAAGCAGCATTTAATGCCAGCTAAATTTCATAACTCCAGCAATTGAGGCTCCTGAAAGATTAATGTATTCTGATTTTGTGAAGTTAAGTTTGGCTTTTTTTTTCCTACCTACCACCAAACCATAACAACAGCAACAAAAACCATTAACAAAAAAACCCACGTCAAGTAAAGGTCAGCAAATTAGTGGAGTATCCAAGCTTTCTTACAAATGTTAGAGGAATGATGAAACAGCTTTGGGCTTTATCAGTGAATATTGGTGAAAGAATGCCCAAGGGAACAGGAAATATCTGTTGCTATATCTGCTGCTTTATCTGTACATATGATGATGTCTTATCATCTAATGTCCCAATACCTAGACTTGGTCATCACTGGATAAATATGAAGCTGATGGTGCCTCTCAATGATTTTTTTTGTTTTATGTGTCATGATTAGCCTTCTTCCTGATAGATGATTGGTTCTTTGAGGTGATGCAAAACATACAGAGTTTGTCTTATAAACAAACATACTTTTTTATCTGAATTTAACAGAAAAGATAGTTCAAGAGGATAGAATGTTTCATTTTTAGGACTTTGTTTGAAAATTATGTGGGATATTTCATTTTAAAATCTTGTATATTTAACTATACAAATTTTAGCAAGCAAATGAGACCGAGAAGATTTTGTATTGAAGGGAATTAGGAAGGAATCTTTATAAAGAAAATAGTAACACTCTCAGTAGGCATTTTGTGTTGTGTTAATCATATTTTCTAAGCAAATATCTAAGTACTTTCTAAATTCTCTTTGCAGATTTTAGTTGCACACAGTTAAGGAGGAATCAAATAAAAGGATAGTTAAARCTATATGGTCAGCTGTAGTTTGTATATTAAGCAAGTGAGGAGAGAGATTATTTGCCTTGTCTAATTTCAATTTGCATAAGAAGCGCGTCCATTTGTTAGTGTTGCTCCTAGTTGAGGTACATGAGAGTAAACTCTTGATTTACATAACTAGATTAGCTCTTTATTTGGTGATGTAGAGCTAGAGTTCCATTCTGTAATCTGATGAGTAAATTATCAGTCTGTCTTAACGTAGAGGCTAAATCTGCACCTTTTTATACCTTTTCAGAAGTTTATGTGTTGCCTCAATTGAAATCCAATGTTCTCTTTTTTCAGAATAGCTGCTATATCTATAGCAACGAAGCTAACAGATCTACAGCTTGGGGATTCAGTGGAAATCAGTAGGCTTATTACAAAAAAAGAAATGAAACAGGCCAGGTAAGGAGATACGTGTAGAAATGTATTTGAAGCCCTTGTGTGTACCTGAAGCATAGGTGACATGCAAAATGTGTAATATGGTGATAAAAATGCCAGCTGTAATAGGAAGACTTGCAGTCTTCATATGCAGCCTGATTCTACTTCAGCAATACTGCTAAAAGAGTATTTTGCAATTCCTTAGTGGTTCATAGTTTTGCTTTCATGTAGAATGAGTTTTCTGTCATTGATTGGTGGTTATATTTATGTGTGGAACAATACAGCTGTGGTTTGGGAGTTTTTTTCTACTCAGCCAACTCATTGGAGTCCTTCTGGATTCTTTTTCAGATATCTAGACAGGACAATAGCTATTATCTTCTGTTTCAGCATCCAGTGTTTTTTTCTGGATTATTGATAGATCATATTTTCTCCTAATTKTCATCTTACTATTTTTAATATTTTTGTATCACTCTTTTAGACTTTTTTTTTGTATTACCCTTTTTAGAATTTTTTATGTTCGTATTTCAGTTTGATTGGTGCTTTGGTGTTCTCATCAAACACCAACGGGTGTGGCTGGCACCACAAGCAGGATTTTAAGTTCCAGTAACTCTTGTGACATAAGTTAGGTGATTTTCTCTTTTTCCTCATGTTCCTCAGGATTGGAATAGCTTGTCCTTTTACTTTTGGTATCATTCCTTTATGGAGCTGTCAACTTTCTCCAATATCCTTCTGTCAGAAGCTTTACTTACTGAAATCTTTGCCCTTGAAGTCCCTAATCTCTAATTTTAATTTATTGTTATTACCATGTCTTCTTTTTTATATTGAATTTGATCATTTCAGATAATATCAGTTTATTATGTGTGTTAAAATCTAATGTTCCTTTATATTGTGTAAAGTCAAAATAGTGAATTTCCCATATAGTAGCTTCATAAATTCCTGTRTCAAAAGCTAGGGCCAGCATACTTYAGGAACTTCAGCTATTGTAGTCATTGATGCATCTCTCTCTGTGTGGACAGACACTGCCCTTTCCTTGAACAGTTGAGATTACCAGAGATTACTTTTCTTTGTACCAGTCTTTCCTGATATCATAACTGTAGTAGGTAGCCTGTATTCAAGTACTGTCAGACAAAGTATTCTCCCTTCTCTCTTTCTGTCTACTGAATACTGGGACAAGGGGAAAAGAGATGGTGCTACATCAAATACTTAGTCTAAAATTTCTAGTTCATTGTCAAACTCCAGTATTTTCAAAGTAATGCACAAATCTGCTTCATTCATTTACAATAGCAATGTYTTCTGCAAGCTGCAGGGATTTTCTTTCTTTGTTTCAATCTCTTGTCCTGTCTGTAGATATTTTACACTTTAGCTTAGGTTTCTTATTAGGGCRTGGGGCTTTTCTTGTGACAAATTTGATCAGACTGAGAGTAGCTTCTCYAAACTGGCTACATTCCTCTTTCAGAGGAGGAGAAAATAATTCTTTAAGCAAATGCCTTTAAACAGTACCAGGTTGATCTTAAGAGTGCCTGTATGTTAGCTTTCTTCTGTCTTCTTCGAGAAAGCCATTGGAAGTTCTGGGTCCWGGAGCTATTTGTCTCCGAACAGTAGTACCTGTCACTGAATAAAACAGTTTGAACCAGTTTCCCCTGTAGATTTTTTTTTAATTTAAGGAAAAATTACTARGAGAATTAATATATGCAATGTAGGGGAAAGAAGTTTGTAACTGCCACTGAAATTCTGGCATTTCTTCTCTAGCATTTCAATCCCTCAAAATAAAACTATGAAATACTTTTCAAAGACGAGACGGAAAACTGAAATTCGTAACTGCAGACACTAGAAATTAGGGGTTCAGTTAAAATACTGATGTTTATGTTTCATCATAATCTTCCATACACTTGTCTAACTTTCCTCTTTTTCCTGACTGATGTTTTTTTTCTGATTCATAGGAATAAGTGACCTTGTGACATCTTCCACTGATGATTTCCAGTCCTTCCTAGCATCCTGTCAGTGCTCCTATCAGCTTCATTCTTTTCTCAAATTTTAGAATTTACCAATATAGCATCTAGTTCACAAGCTTTTTTCTTCAGTTCCAAGCGACGTTGGTAATTGTTGCTCCTGTTCAAGGCCTGGAGAAGGAATTGGGTGCTCAAAGATATTTGATTGTTGCTTGTTTGTTTATTTTTAGCTCTACTATCTGTTCTAATAGAATCCACTATTCTCACACACTCTCATTACTTCTTTAGACCATTATGATATGACACCAACAAGCTACAGATTGAAAAGTATGAGTAGCAGCAGTGATCTAATTGTATTCTTCTTTCATAATTCAGGTTGCAATGTGATGAAGAATGCTTAGCTCTTCAGAGGAACAGGTGGGCAGTTAACTTGCATGCCCTTTCCCCCTTTCCCCCTTTCCCTCTTTCTGAAGTAGTCCAGGTTTGGAAAGCTAATGCTATGTGGATAGGAAATCCTTTTCTGAATGACCTAGAGAACAGATAAATGTGGAGATTATTATTCCTGTTATAAAGATTTATGTTGAATGGTCAAAAATCTTGCTAGAATACTTTAGTTCTAAATGAGTAGTTTMAAATGCACAGACTTTTGCAAGTTGTTCATTTGTATTAGTAACCTSTAACTTTATTCTTCAATGACATGTGTGGAAGGCTGGGGGGATTTATGTTTTTTTTGTTTGCTTATATTTTTGTTATGTTTTGGGGTTTTTTCCTCCTACCTTCAAATTTAGGCGCCTTGCTGAAGCTCTTGAAATAGATGATAAATCTGATCCTTTTAATATCCGTTCTACTGGACCAAAGTACAGTGAGCTCTTAAAAGAAGATGCAAGGTATGTTTTCTAATGATGGCAGATGTCATAAATCAATAGTATTGAGAGGAAGTTGGGAAATGAACAATTCTATTTACTTTTCTAAAAACAACTGCCTTAGTAGTAGATGGCAGTTGAGACAAAGGAGTTGATGTGCACTTCTCAAGACCTCTGAAATGAGAACCTGAAAGGTAAAAAGTGCCTGACAGGTTGCTTTTGCTTTGTTCTGTAACAGGACCAGATTTAGAATACCATTTTATACTATGGAATACCATTTGGAATACCATTTTATGTCATTGATACTATGGATCGGTATCTGTACTTCTCGTATCGCTACTGCTTTTACACAGAACCAACTTCCATCTCAGTGCTCCTTATAAATGTTWCAAAACCAAGACAATGGCTAAATAATGAAATATGCTTTCATAGCCTGCCATTCTTCTTTGCACCAGTCTCATTTATTTTTTTACCTTACTGTTTTTATTTAATAATAAAGAAATGGAATTAATAAAAGGTTGGATGCAGAGTGAAGCCTATGTCAGTGTGACTGCATAGAGGGTTGCTAGACTACTACATCCTAAAAYGAGGCAATGTGAAATCAAGGTAATATCAAAAACATCACACCAATAAGTAGTTCGCAATCTGGAATGACAGGGAGGGATCAGACACATTTTTTTAAAAGATGCTTAGGTGATGAGTCATCTAAGTTTTTACCCTSTGTGTGTTTGTAGGCCTAACATACATTAGTTTTTACCAGGTCTAAGTTTTTTAGAACAGCTTAATGTGTTTTGTTCTTGCTTCAGTATTCTAAAGCTGCATAAATTTCATAGTTTTGTAAGGATGTTTGCTCCTTGAAAATCCTTTATTTAATTTGCTGATGTGTTGAGATAAGTGAAAATTTTACAAAAGCATCCACTCAGAATTTAAGAGTAAGTTGTGTCTTCTTTACTTCCAGCTTATGCCCCCACTGCAAAATAGAAGCTAAATGTTTTCTTTGTGGAGCTACTGTTTTATTAGTGTTTGCACCTAAAAGTGCTATTTTATAAAGACTATTCTTTCAGCTATGTATATAATATATTTTGCTTTACCTTTTTCAGTAAACACAGCACAYACTTTCAATACAATAAGAAAGTGAAAATTTTGCAGTGTGTGTGTAGTCTCTGTGTTTTTTTTGGAGTACAATTCTATCTTGTCTTTCTGCCAGCCACTACCCATCATGCAGTGTTCATTTTTTATGAATGGAACTGACCCGGGTTATGTACTCTATTCCAGATGGTCAAACAGATACCTTGAAAAGTAGCCATGCTTCCACACTCCACCTCTTCTCATTCTTTTAGTGATTTTACTTGTGTTTCCTTTGTAGCCACYTTATACTGGTAATTTACAATGAAGTATTATTCTTACTGATGCATAGCAAAGCAAAAGTTTTTGTTAATCCTCTAGTCAATTACTTTTTGTATTGAATTACTGGATTTCATTTATCTGATTTTAAAGATAAATATTTCTCTCCTTATATTAACATAGATCTCTTTACAAGAGAAACAATCTGCAATTTGTGCATCTATGACTTAAAGAATTTACTTCCCTGACTGCTCTCAATGATACTTTATCTCAGTAGTCTAGCAAAAGATTTGGTTTTCCATCATGATGTCAGGATCCAGAAATGGTATCTGTTACAGTATGTTTTTGAGGTGGCTTGGCATTCTGAATAATTTTTGACAGATCAATTTATTCCTGCTTGAGCGCATCGCTCCAGTAATGCAGGAGTTCAGGGCTTGTRGTTTTCTGCAAAGTCTAAGTTACATACGGAATCTTAGAATGATGGAGAAACATGGCAGATGCCTCCCTGTGCATTCRGAGTCACTGCCTCAAGAAAGCAGCAGCTGCCAAAGTCATTATTAGAATGTCGTATTATCTTCTTCAGGCAATTAATTGGTCTGTGTAGCTGATTCATTGTCAGGAGCAGAAAGAAATGTATATCTACAAATGAAGAAAACTTCCAAAAGCTGTGAGAACTCCTGATTTTGAGATGTTGTCTTTAATTACAGAACCCTAAAGCTCCCAAAATGTAGTACAACTCCAGGTAACAGGGAGAAGATAAGCAATTGTAAGCATGCCAAGATAATGTCTCCTTTTGTAGGACAGTGATACGAGAAGGTGGCATCAGTAATAGCATCTTAATGCTGACCTTACTGATGTGTTTCTCAGGATCTGATATGGAGTCAAAAGGACAGTCTCTCCACCATATAGCTTTACATGAGGAGATATTCTGCTGTGACAGGGAATCCCTCTTATAGAATGGAGATGACTGTACCAACTGAGCACAGATCAGGGGGTGCAGGTCCACTGGCTGGACACCTCAGCACTGATGTTTCTAAGAAACTCCAGAAACAGACACAGAGAGTAAGCAAATTCTCAGGTTGATCTGTTGACGTGATGTTGGAGGATAGACTGGCAGAAGTATCAATGTCCAGTTGGACATGGATCATGTTAAGGCTGCTATTTGATGAATTAAGACTACTGGAGAAAGAGAGAATACCTGGAATATCTARCCTGCTCTTCTGGAGCTACACAGAAGAGAATTTTCTTATTTTGCCACTATCTGTGCATGACCCCACTGTATAGACTATGAAAATTTCTGCTATTATAGATTCCTGAAGGGGAATATATACCCCAGTGTGTGAACTAGTTCCTTAGTACCCTTTTAAATATTACACATCCGATGCTTGTGGACCCTCTCATTGGATTGTTGGTTTCACTTTTTTCTTACCTGCCATGATCATTTCACCTCGAAATTTTAGTGTTCGTGGTCAGCATTCTGTGTAGTATGTGCTTCCTAACCTTCTGAATCCTGAGGGGATCAGTGGTTTTGGTTGGATTTTTTGTTGTTGGATTGGGGCTTTTTACTTGGGGATAGGGTTTTTTTGAATTTGAGGTTATTGGTGTAATATTCTTTCTAAAGCCTCATACCACTTGAGCTGACTGTATTTCACACCATAGGTGTCTGGGGGTCCCTTTCTTTTAATCTCTGCCAGTCCAGGTCCTTTTTCCAGTTCATCCAGTGTTTTACATCTCTGTACTAAAGACCCAGGAGTTCTCATAGCTACTTATAATGTCCAAGTACTGTTGCTAAACCTTGAAGTGTTTAAGTCCATTGTATTTGATCAAGTGAGGCTGGTAGCTGAGCTATTCAATGGTGTCGTTGTTTGGGACACCTTGGTCTTTGGATGATTCATTCACTTCAGCATCCAGATTTTTGGTAGGTCATCGACCAAAAATAGTTGTACTTGCTTTGGTAGGCACTTCCTGACTGGTTAAATTCTGCCATCATTCACAAAATGGTACTGTGGTATGGAATAGTGCCTAGTTTTTTAAGAATTATTTATTACAAACCAGCTTTGAGATGTAAAAAYTTCAGGTAGCCTTTTTTCCCCATGAGCATGGTGACCTAACAAATAACAACCTTACTTTTAGAGTTAGTTTACCTGCTTATTTAAGAACAGAGCACAAAGTGAAAGACTTGAAGTACTGTGACAAAGCTAGTTACAAAAACATACTGCAAACAAATCCTTAGTCTCTCACATCAAGAATGTTTTGTTTGCTTGCAAGTACCCTTATGCTGCTTCTTGCATTCTTAGTAATTTGTTGTGCTAAGTGAGCTGAAGACCAAAGTTAAGTGAACTTTTTCTCTGTCTTGGAAAAGAAACCCACTCTGCTTATCCTATCCCCATTTTTGTGTGTCACCATATTTTGCAATGAAGTAAATTGATGACAAGTAATTAAAAAACACCAAATGGCAACTTTAAAATCTACATKATTCATATAAAAATGTAGAATTGTATTGTCAGACAGTAGAGCCATGTCATAGAATTTTATTCTTGGTTCCAGTTGTTGAAGGGAAAATAATTATTTTTGCAATCATGATAACACACTAACAGTCATTTAATGTCAATGAAGCTTCTGTTTTAGTCAATTTTGTTCTTTAATTTTGTTCTTGTTGAAAAATATTACAAAATATGAAGATATTTTATCTTTGTACACTCTCTTGCCTGGTTAACCTAGAATGCTGTTCTTGCAGGAAGGATATAAAATTTGTCACTGACATTGAAAAGGAAATGAGAATGCTTGTGGAAGCTGTGAATAAGGTCAGTATTCAGATACTATATATGGCTTCTAAGAATTGGTTTTGTCTGGGGGGAGTTTGATATTCCTAAACTTTATTAATACTAGTAGTTATGCGTTGACACTAGATCCGTTTGGGCTCCATATAGTGCACAGTTGAATTRTAAAAAGAACAAAATTTTTAGGAGACCTAGTAGTTCAGGATCACTTTGGTGCTAAACTGCCCAAAGAGTCAAGCAGTGCTAGGCATTAATGCATCAATGGATTATTGTCCATTTTTGGATCACCATTAATAAAATATTAATTGTCATAGATGATGTTTAAATGTTCAGACTTCGAGGAGGAAAGTCAAGGTACTTCTGATCCCTCTAGTGGAGCTTGCTCATGAATTTTTTGATACCTTCCTGTATTTGCCAGAGCATGAGATTATCCCCTTTTTGTAAGAAAACCTGAATTCAGTTGCAGTGTTTGGGAGGCTCCGTATACTTACAGAGATTGTTACCRTAGACACAGTCATACATTTTTCAGTGACACCGCCTTCAAGTCTGTCAGATTAGCTTGCTGCTGCACTGTAAAGGACCCAGTATGTATGTTGTTCAAAGGACCATGTAAACTATACTATCTTCAGTTGCCCTTAGCTCAAGAAGGAGCTAATCTTCTGTAGAAGGTATAATTTCCATCCCCCTAGGCCCTAAGGACATTTACTTAACATTATTCCTTAAAAAAATTATGGATGATGTTTCTTAAACAATCTTTGTGCTTGTCCATCTGTCTAATGTTCTTGCCCATTGTTTTCATCAAAGTCTAAAATGAGTCAATCTGTGTCTGGTTATCACAGAGTGGGTAAAGTTGGAAGGGACCGCAGTGGCGTCATCCAGTCCAACCTTCCAGCTCAAGTAGGGTCRTCCTGGAACACATTGCATGGGATTGCATCCAGACAGTTCTGTAATATCTCCAGTGAAGGAGACTCCATAACYTCTCTGGGCAATCTGTTTCAGTGTGCAGTCACTTGCACAGTAAAGAAATTATTCCRTATGTTCATGTAAAACTTCCTGTGCATCAGTTTTTGCCTGATACCTCTTCTCTTGTTTGTTGACACTATTAAGAAGAGCCTGGCTACATCCTCTTGAGATTCTATCTCCAGATACTTACTGACAAAAGAAATAATAATAAAACCCAATCTGTCATCTCTTCTTGAGGCTAAATAGGCCCAGTTCTCTCAGCTTGTCCTCGTGAGATGGTCCAATCCCCTGTCATCTTTGTAGCCTTCTGCTGGACTTRCTCCAGGAGCTCTATTTCTCTCTTGTACTGAAGAGCCCAGTACTAGGCACTGCATTCCAGGCAAGGCCTCACCAGGGCTGAGTAGAGAGGCAGGATCATCTCTCAGGACCTGCTGGTCRCAGTCTTCTTAGTGCACCATGTCATTGGCCTTGTGTCACAAGGGCACCATGCTGTCTCATGGACAGCTTGTTGCCTACCAGTACCTCCAGATCCTTGTCTGAAGAGCTGGTTTCCATCAGGTCAGTCCCCAGCCTGTACTGGGGTGCAGGACTTCCTCTCTGCCCGTCCCCCCAGCCTGTTGAGACCTTTCTGAAGGGCWGCACAACACTCTGTGRGATGCCGGCCACTCCTCTCAGCTTTGAGTCATCAGTGAACTTGCTGAGGAGGTATCTGCCCCTTCATCCAAGTCATTGATGAGTAAGTTAAAACAGTATTGGAGCTGGTACTGACCACTGGCGAACACTGCTAGTTACAGCCCTCCAACTAAATCCTCTGCCACTGAACACAACTCTCTGTAGTTCAGCCAGTTCTCACCATATTCACAATCCTCTCATCCAGTTTGCACTTCCTGAGTTTACCTATGAGGATGTCAGAGGACACAGTATCAAAAATCTTTTTGAAGTCCAGGTAGATAATATCTGGTGCTCTCCCCTTATCTATCCAGGGGATGGATGGATGGATGGATGGATGGATGGATGGATGGATGGATGGATGGATAGATAGATAGATAGATACATAGATAGATACATAGATAGTTGTCTTATCGTACAGTTAGATTGGTTAAGCATGATTTTCCGTTGGTGAATCTGTACTAACTAACCCTGATCACCTTCTTGTCATCCCACAATTACCTTCAGGATGCACCATTCCCATCTCCTTTCCAGAGACTAATGTGGGACTGTGTTGGTTTTACATGGCCTAGTTTCTGATGGTGGGAGTGGGGGGCACCCACAGAGGTGGCTTCTGTGAGAAGCTGCYAGAAGCTTCCTCCATGTCTGGCAGAGCCAATACCTGATGGCTCTAAAGATAGATATGCCACTGGCCAAGGCTGGGCCAGTTAGAAATTATGGTAACACATCTGTTAATAACATATTTAAGAAGAAATCAAAACAAAGGGGTGGTGCAGCTTTAATTCCAGCTAGAGGAGGAGGATGTGAGAACATGTAAGGGAAGCAACATGAAGACACCAAGGTCAGTGGAGAAGGAGGAGGAGGAGCTGCACCAGGCACTGGAGTAGAGATTCCTCTGCAGGCCATGGTAATAACCATRGTGAAGCAGCTGTGCCCCTGGAGGTTCAGCGCGTGGAGATCCACGGGGAATGCAGAGATTGATTTGCAGCCCGTGGGAGAGGTGCCCACACCCAGAGCGGGTGGATGCCTAGAGGAGACTGTAATCTGGCAGCAGATGCAGTGGAGAGAGGGGGCCTCTGCTTCCAAGGTGAAGCAGCCTGTCCTTGAAGGTCTGCACCCCATGAAAGAGTAACCCACGCTGCAGCAGTTTCGAGAGGACTTTTTGCCATGGGAGGAATTCACATTGCAGCAGTTTTGGGAGGACTGCTGCTTGTGAGAACAGTTCATGGAGAACTTTCTCCTGTGGGAAGGGATCCCATGGTCTCACAGGGGAATGGTTTTCCTCCCTGAGCCAAGTGGAAGAAAACTTTGGGTGATGAACTGACCAAAGGAGTCAGTGGGAAGAAGGGAGGAGGTTGGGGAAGAAAAGTGTTTTTAAGGGCTTATTTTACTTCTCATGATCCTGTTCTGATTTTGTTAGCAATAAATTCACTTTGTATCACTAAGTTGAGCCTGTTTAGTTCTTGAAGTGTTTTCTCCCAGTCCTTAGCTCACGAAGCCTTCGTTAAATTTGCTCTCCTATGCCCAGTTGTAGCAGGGGAGGGTGAGTGAGTGACTTTTCATGGGTGCCTGGCATTGGCGAGTTCAAACCACAACAGACTGACTGGCCTATAGTCCCTTGGGGTCATTCTTCTTGCCCTTTAGGAGAGACTAGGGTGATTGCTTTCTTTAAGTGTTTATGCACCTCTCCTGACCACCAATTACTTTTCAAAGATGATTGTAAGCAGCCTTGCTATGATGTCCACCAGCTCTCTCAGCATTCCTGCAKGCATCCTGTCAGGGCCTATGGCCTTGTGAATATCATGTTTGCCTAGGTGTTCTCTAACCTAGGTGTCTCTCTTTGACTTTGGTCAAAGTCTTCTTTGACCAACAGAAACCCTTCCAATATTCCTTCACCCTGGTCTCTTGAGTCAGAGATTCTTGAGGGCTTGTCAGTGAAGACTGATGCAAAGAAGGTGTTCATATATTCCATCTTCTCTGTGTCCTCTCTTGCTACTTCCATTTGGTAATAGGCCYACATTATCCTTAGTTTTTCTTTTGTTATTGATGGATTTAAGCCCTTTTTTCTATCCTCGACATCTTTGGCCAGATGTSATTTCAGATGGGCCTTGGCTTTCCTTGTCTCATTTCTACTTACTTTTACAACTTSTTTATATTCATTCCAAGTGGCCTGACCCTGCTTCAATCTCCTGTATATTTCCTGTTTGAGTATTTGAACYGGGTATTCCTAGTTCATTCGAGTAGGTCTTTTGCCCCCTCCTGTTAGCAATTTTGCTAATTGTCCCTCCAACCTCAGATACTTGAAAGTAGATGCATGGAATAGTTGTTTGTTATCTGTATTGTTACGCCTAAGAATAATTTGCCTAGTGTGTTGCTGCCTATGGTTATCCTATTTTACATATTCCTTTGCATAACCTTTGTCATACACACATATGTACACAAGTGTGTACATGTATATATTTCTATATATAATTGCATATTCCAAATATATGTTTATACTAATATCAAACTTAGTTACTCAAGATATGTAATTACATTAAAAAAGAGGCAACCACAGGTCTTGAATTTGCAATTAGTGACATCAAATATGCCAGAACAAGAGTATCAGAGAGCTCAAGTGCATCTCCAGTGCTTTAGTTCTCAGTGCAAACTATTTGTTAAATAATRATCCTACAAAGCAGACAAATGGTGTCTGTTAAGGAGCATCTACATTGCAGAAGAGAAGGAGAATATGAAAATCCACATCTCTCCGTCTTTTCCYTGTCTGACCTAAGGGGAGATTTACCCAGTGTACCCAGCTTTTATCAGTATCGGCATGAACCATTGAGGGCCATGGGACAGTTCAGTATCTCAAGGATCAGTTCTGTACCATCTACCCATCAGGCTGTAGGGAATTGCTATTCCATAAATGTATGAGAAGCTCCCAAAAATCAAGTTACATTTCAGAAGGGAGGAAATTTTTTCAGGGGTTGAGGTGAGATTGACCAGCAAGTAGCTCCATGCCTGTCTTGAAGATAAAAGTGAGAGCATGTGTTGAGGCCATGCTCCAACTCTGTTTTCCTTCAAAATTGTGGCATGTATGGTATGAAAGGGAGTATTTCCCATGCACTGTAAAGTTAATTTGCCCTTGTACTCAGTTCTTGCATAACTTTTCTTTTTATTAATGTGTGAGTCTCAGAGTCTTTCTTTTCTCTCTTGTGAGAGTCATGTTTCATCTTGCTAACCACAGTTTTTGTAGGTAAGGATTGAATTAATATGTGCAACATGACATTATGCAGGGAGACTGGTCTTAGTTGTTTTTCTGCCATGATCCTCAAGTCCTCTTGATGCTTGAGTCTCTGGTTGTTTGTTTACTATGATTCCTAAATACTCTCTGACTAATTCCTAAATATGTGGCTTGTTTTCTTTGTTTCTAGATGTAGAACTTGTATTAAAGGATTTTGCATGGTAATATATCAAGCATTCATGTAGCTTTGCTTGTATCAGTACTATGTCTTTCATACTGATTGCTGTCACTTATGCTTACACGTTTTACTTCTACTTTATTTTTTCTGCATTGTACCTTTGGAGATGCCCACTTCAGCTTAACGGGATAAATGAGTAATAGAAGGATTTGATACTTGTAAGTTTTAGCATTAATATGATTCAGCTCTGTCTATCATATATGACTTTGCTTGCCTCATAAACATCTGTTGCCCTACAGTCATCAGTATGTACTCTATCTAGCATAGCAGAGTTTTCATTGTTGATACCTGTAAACAGAAAAGACAGAGAAAAGGTATATCCCACTCTTGTCCTCATAGGACAAGAATTGTGGCCATCATCACTTTTTTAAAGCAAACATACTAGTCATCACAAATAGGTACAGAATCTACAGAGTTCTTCAAATGCTTATGTTTATGCTGGAAATTATGTAATAGCTGGGTGGTTTAGTATGTTAATTGCAAAGTAAAGATAATGTTCTTTCAACATGTGATTACACTGAAGACTTACAGAAATGGTTTACCACCATTTATAGTGCAGTTATGATTTGTAACTTAGCAATTTTATAATATAAAAGGAGACAGATATTAACCCTTTATTTTCASCATAGCTGCAATGTAGCCCTGATGACTTGTTCCAATACATGTGGTGGTCTTTACATTAATTTYGGGGCTCACCTTTTGTAAATTCATATTGATTGTTCCCAGGGACTTTTTTCCTTCATGTACCTTAAAAACAGATTTGAATTTTAGCTAATCAGCCAATAGTTCTTAGTTGTTTTTTTTTTGTTTGCTTGTTTGTATATAGTTGCAACAATTACCTTTCTCTAGTCATTGGGTTCTTACCCCATCACAGTCTTTCAGAGGTGATGAAGAGGTGGGATATCATCATGGTCTCTCAGTGACCTTAAATGGACTGCCCMAAGTCCCAGGAACTTAAGTAGGTTGGGATTTCTGTAGAAGCTCTGACTCAAAGTTTTTCTACTATGCAAGTTTGTTTTCCCCTTGAATCTTCTCTGTAGACCCAGAGACCTAGAAGACTTCATTAGTGAAAGTTAAGGAAGTGTCCTGAATCCATGAAAGCAAACTGAAGCACTGAGTGACTCATCCTTATATGCATTTGATGTTATATGTTGATCCAATCCATTAAGTACATGGGTTCATAGGGCTCTGCTTTTTGGTTTTTTTACTGTTGGTGTAATAATTAATGTTGAATCAAGCATTATCAGTTTTCATTAACTGATTGAAACTAGACCTTTGGGATTTTATTTAATAAAGAATCTACTGATGCCATTATATGAGGGTCTTTGCAGATAAATAGCTTCTTTTGTAGAGGGAAGTGATTGATACATTTGACATCTTTATAGCTATCTGCTATCTGCAATATGTGCACTGTGAAGCCAGTCTGCAAAATAAAACTAGATCAGATGTGAATTTGGCAGGTCATTCTGAAAAATACAAATTCAGATAAAAATAACTTTGTATTATTTTTTTGGGGATCTGAGAAGAATTATTGTAATCAGGATTTTTATTTCAAACTTAAAAGATACCCTTATGTGGGTGTGTGTATACTTTGGGGTGATGGAAACAATAGGAAACAYACAATTTAATTTTGGGGAATTAAATGAATACTTTCAGAAGAACTTTCTGTCAATACTGATGTCTTAGCAATTTGTGATAGTARTTTTGTCATAGCAAGATTTTAGAGGTAGAAGCACTTTCTTTCCTTGTTTTCTTCCACCTGGCTCTCCTGATGGAAAACTTGACCTTTTATTTTTCTTCTTTCTTAATTTCTTCTGTTGAATTTAGGGCAAGCATACAAAGAAGAGTCATTGTTACCCACCAATGAACAGAGATCACCGCAGAATCATCCATGAATTAGCTCAGGTTTATGGCATTGAAAGTGTGAGCTATGACAACGAACCAAAGCGCAATGTTGTTATTACTGCAGTAAAGTATGTAATCCATTGTTGTTTTCAAATCTTTTTGTATAGTTTAAATAATTCGATGGGGTTTTATCACTTACCATAATGCGTTTATGTACAATGCAATTTGCAAAATGCCCTGATTTCCAGTAGAAATTATTTTTAAGCAGTTTTTGAATTGATAGTTTCATGGACTCATTTTCACTACTCAAATAAATCTTCAGAGAAGAAAACTTAATTGGAAATTAAAAAGCTAAGAAAGTACTTTGCAAGATTGTTTTCTATTCATCTTACCCATAATTTTTTGTCATCAGCTAAATTTGATAGAGGTATCAAAATAATGTATGTAATAAAATTTCATGAAAACTAATTGCTGGGTTGAGAAATCATACTTAAATTTACACCACCTTTGAAAAAATCTGGTTATTGTAACATACTTCTTCATCTATCAGAACCTGCCACAGAGTATATTCCCTTTTTAGTTAATGGAAAGACAGGGAACTGGAATTACTGCAAATTGAAGAAACTTCTTAGCAAAAATAAACATTTTTGAAGAACACTCGTAGAAGGCAGTTCATAGTAGAGAAGAAAATGAAGGGAATATAGCTAGGGAAAAAGCAAGCTGGTTGCACTAGGGACATAGTATGGGAAGGCTTTCTGGTGTCAGGGCTTCATTGATTGTGCTCCTTACTCAGCAGCATATTTTGTTGAGCACTGTCAAATTGTGGTTATTTGACAACCAGTTGTTTTTAACTGTAGTAATAAGAAACCTGTCATCTTCCACGCTATTGGAGTGCCATAAACTAGTCCTGAACTTGTTCATCAGTTGGTAGTTTAGCTACGATCTTGATTTTTTCCAAGAGAGATAGAACATTACCTTGATCTTACAATGTAAGATAATTTTTGTTTCAAGTAAAGGAAGATGAGCAAAGGGTTCATATTTGAAAAAGCTTATTTTAAAAAAATAAATGAATAGGGAGGGGGAGGCAGGATGAGAAATTAGTGACGAAGATAAAAGGAGCAGGGCAGATGATTGTGCTTTACAAGCAAAGGCATATGCTGAAAGCTGAGGATGGGAGGCCTTTCTCTATGGTTTTAGAAGAGATTGCACACTTGCTCCTTCCCTTATGTTGTTCAGGGAATAGCATACTATGTGGAATGCACATGCTTCTATTTAATTACTGCTATTCTTAAAAGACACTGAGTGGTCTACTGAGAGTATTCTTCAGCTGCATGGCAATATTTCTTAATTCAGTGGATTAATCCAAAGCTTCTTCTTATTTTCTTTTTATTTGCCACTTCTTCAAGATAGAAAAAAACGCTGTAGCTTCAGATGAGTAACAGTTCAAGTTCCAGGATGATAATTTTGAGTATTTCACAATGGCTTCTTCAACTCTTAGAGCTAGTAATTACCATAAAGTCAAAATGGTTTTGTTTCATTCTGTCTCAGGAATGCCTCTGAATTTCTTTTATGGGCTCCTTCATGTATAAATAAATGAAAATCATTCAGGCAAAAAGGCTATTCCTTCTCTTCATACCACCATTGTGTCATTCAAATGGTAACATCCCTATACATGTAGGTTAAAGGACTGAGAAAGTCTCCTTGACGCTAAGAAAGCTTCCTGCAACCAGGCTTCTTCCTCTTCCAGAGATCATGGGGCAAACTTCATAAACCTGCGTTGCCCTCAGCCTCTGCTTCCATCATCATCAGTAAAAGTTGGTTGTATTAGCTGTATTAGAATCTCTGATGTACAGCATTGCCCATATATAACCACCAAGAAGATGATTTCTAGTATTGAGTGTTAAGCTTCATCTGAATTAACGTTCTGGTGTCACTTGAAGTGTAAGACCCCTAGTGAATCCTTGCAAGTGCCCTTCTCTGTGCTTACATGTAGGTCATCTTTGCAGTCACCATGTTTTGAGCAGTTGCAATGCCAGTTTCTTTCTGGGAGGTTCAGAGGTAATGTCCAGTCTGTTATGATGAAAAGGGTAGAGCTTTCCTTTCCAAGTACACACTTGTGTTTCACTGTACCTGTCAGTGGTTTTTTGAAGTTTTTTACTCAGATGAATAAAACTTTCCTCTTTCTCCAAATAACTAGGGATTCCAGAGCCTGTTAAAGGGGTGTCTGCTTGTTTTTATGYAGTGACCAGTATTTAAGCAGCTTGTATGGACTTGAGACATCCTGGAAGTGTTTTAAAGAGCRGTCATCCCTGTAAGACCCATCATTTTCCTGTTATTTCCAGGAAGAACATTAGGGTCTCAGTTTCTCCTCAGGAATAAGGGGACTTCTCAAGGAGGTGACAAGGTCTCACATGGTTCTCACTGAGAAAGCCACATGCTGCCACAATCTTACTGACATGTTCTCTGGGTTTTTTTTCACCCAGGATTTTATGTCCTTTTAATGAGGTCAGTCTGGAAATGGTTCAGAAATGGTTACCTAGCTGTAGGCTATACAAGAGCAGCAGGATCAAAGACCTAAGGAAATTAAAACCCCTGTAACAACAAGGAAAACTCTTATCAGATCATGACAATTGCATCACAGAAAGAAAAAATTGCACATCCCAGGGGCAGGGTTGAAAGGAAAGTATATGTTCTAAGGAAACAAAATTATGCTTTGACTTCTTTCAGTTTTTCTGGGCATGTTTCAGTACTTGAACTCCAGGTACAAATTCATTTTACTTAACTGTCTCCATAACCTTTCTGTATCTGAAATAAATTCACATTCAGTTTGACAGGAATTATGAAGACTACCTGAAGGTACTGTTGTTTCTTTAAGAACTTTTATTCTTTCACTTCTAGGAATTTTATCTTCTGCCATGAGGCAAAACCTAACTTTGTCCCCACTCCCTTTTGCAATCACAAAGGCCAATTATAATGCAATGGCTCTTGACACATCTGCAACTTCTAAGAATTTTAAAGCCATTTAGGTACTACTACTGCTATTGATCACCAGCCAAAGAGATTTTAACAGCAGTCCTATTTAAGAAAAGAGCTACATAATTTTCTTACTGTTTTTTCCTTAAATGTGGACATTGTTGGCCCTGAGAATAGTATGTGTTGCTTCTGTTWTGCTTCTGTTATGGCATAAAATGTATGAAGTTTAAACAATCAGGAGATTGTTTAAGAGCCAATTTGCTTCATATTTCCACCTCAGTTGTTACCAGTTTTTGGAGACATTGTTCASAGAGATCTCATATGTCTAAAAGCAGATGGCTCATTGTTACAAGACTGTATGGAATAAGTCTGGGTAGATTAATGGACAAGGAATTTTTCTAGTAGTTCATACCAAAACAGATCAATGCTGATCCATCCTATAGGTACAAAAATTGAGCTTCCAGTCTTGAAGAAGATTTTGACTCCTGATTTCCACAGTTCAGTTTTATACAACAGGCTATCCTGTCAGCACTAGCACGGTCTTAAAATCAGCCGATAGTTTATAGCTTTTCCCTGTACTGCTGTTAMAAATGTGTCATCTCAACTTTGTTGCTTGGGCCAGGGAGTTGGCTTTTTTTTTTCCTTACTTTGAGAAGAAGTTAATGAAATGAGGAATGGCAACTTTCATATCAAAATGTCCAAAATATTTGGACAGCYCTTTGTTCTCATATGAACAGTTCTTTTACAACTGATGGGTTAGGTAGGGTCTGCTTTCTTTCTTATTCCTGGTAATTAATTAATCAAAGGKTTTCTTTTTTTTTTTTYWTTKTCCATCTGTTTAGTTGAATTGAGTTGTTTAGGGTTTTTCCATGGGTTAAATATGGGTGACTGTTTCTCTCTTTTTTTTTTCTTTAACCAATCAATGTGCCACCAAGGTATACAGAAAGTGGTGCTCATTTTGCTGGGGTGTAAGTTTATAGGTGTTTGTCTTTTAAATTCCTTGTGGTTTCATGACAATCCAGTTTGCTGTATATCTCTCCTGCTTTTTTGTTTTTTTTGAGGGATGCTAAATTTTATCAAAGTTAAAACAGGTCTAGGCCTTGATGTGACCAAAAGCAAATTTGGTTCCTGAATAATCTCTAATTGTCCACAAGGTTTGCTGTATTATCCCTCTACATCCTGGAAACATGTAACTTTGGAGCAGAGCTGCTGATTTATTTTCTTGAAATGCAGGAACATTATCTTTCTTCAGTAAAATATTTTTTAGCTAATTAGTAGAAATTAATGCACATGTATTCTTCCAAATGTTCTGTTTCCAGCATTTCAGAGCTCTTTTTTTTATCTTTTACTATACAAGATTTATTCTGATATTCTAGAATAAGGATAGACATCTTACTTTACTTGTTGAAGGCCTTTCTAGCCTTTCTTTATTTTTGCTTATTTACCTCCAGGCAATTTGCTTTCCATGTTTTTGCACATCACAGTTGATAAAAATGAAAGAAGACAACAAAATACCCTCCCATCTACCTCTGTTGTTTGTTTTTTATTCAGTAAGAACTCTACAGGTGACATGTAACTAAAATGGCAGTTGTGAGCATTTGGTTTTACATGGCAGGCTTAGAGCTAAAGGAGAGAAGGATTTTTTAACAGTTTCAGACAAGAGGGGAAAATTAGCTGTTCTCAGCTGATAGGACTGTAATATACTTGCTTATACATAGTTAAAATGTACATGTAAATGTAATCTAACCGTGAAAAAACTGGTCATTGGCAAGTAACTTTATTTCCAAATAATAAAAGCTTTCACTGTTGGGGAGATGGGGACACTTTTTTAATTGGTGACCTATGTTTGTAAGATTCTGTAGTTCATTTGAGTAGATTGTCAGTATTCAGTTTAAAATGATACTGAAAGGGGTTCAGTGTTCACCACTTTATATTTTAGTGGACTTTTGACAGCTCAAAAGTGGAGTTTTTCATCGATGTTGCCACAGTATCACAACCATTGGCCCTTAAAAACAGACTGATATAAACAAGATATGAAATAAAAAAGATAAATATGATGAAAATAAGAAAAATATTTAATTTTTGTAAGCTCTGAAACAGAACTGGCATTCATTTATGTACTGATGTGAGATTTCAACTGCTTAGAGCTCTGAGGGAAATGAGGAAAAACTATGAATTGTCAAGTATGTGACAAAGCATGGAACTCAACATGTGCAGATTTTTGGAATTATAACAATACACAACGCATTGCTTTGCAGAATTTTTGCTGTAAATCAGTATGTAATTTTGAAAGGAACAAGATGAACATGGTATTCATCAAGTAAGAATTYAATGTAATTAGCAAACATAGAGTCTCGTGATCTGGAGGAGTTTATTTAAAAATGCATGAATAAAGTAAGGAGGGAACATTATTTAGTGCTTGACATAGAATCATGTAGCTAAGGAAAAGGCCCTTAAGATAATTGAGTCCAATTGTATGATCAAGTCTACCATTAAACCAAGTCCCTAAACACTGTATCTCCACATCTTTTAAATACCTCCAGCAATGGTGACTCAAGCAGCCTGTTCCAGCACTTGGCAAATCTCCGAGTGAAGAAATTTTTGCTGATACCCAATATAAACCATTGAGGAAAGCAGTTCAATTTAGTGTACAAGAAGTAGTTTGGTCTGAAAATATCAGTAGCATGGGTTTAGGGGAAAGTGCATGAAGAGTAAGAAATTTACCTTGATAAGGTTTAAGAATTTTAATTTATTCAGCTTACCTGCCCCCAGAAAAAAATGAAGAAGAAACTGTGAATGGGGAAGATGTTGACAGTAGAAGCTCCTTCCGTCTTKCATTTAAACCATCTGAGTGAAATAAGGCAAACTCACTCTTAAAAGTGGCTCATGAATTTAGAGAAAATTTTAAGAGATCTCCACAATCTATTAGAGATACAGTGTGTTTGGTAATTATTTGGAATTTTTTTTAATTAGATGCCTTTCTGGAACATCTTTCTAGGAWTTTTTTCCTGGGTGTTGGGGGTTGWTTGTTTTCAGATTTTTTTTATTTTAATATCCTTCCTCTTTCTCCAGCTATTGCAGCCTTTGGACACAGATGGCCAACTGAAGTTGAGTCATTCATAGCCTAAAACATACAAGTTTATGTATAGTGCTAAAGTGCACTGTCCTCCTGTACTGGAGAATATACTGCTCTGTAACCATAGTGATGGGTGACCCTTACACAGCAGATGGGACAGGCACAAGTGTGATGCTTCATTGTGTGATGGCAATCACATAATAGATTGTAATTTSTGTGGAAGACAGAAAAAGCTGATATTTTAATTATCCCACTCTAATGCATAATGGGTTTTTTTTCTGGTCTGGTTCACCTTGAATTGCTTACATAAAGAGGCAGTGTTGTTTGGGAGAGTGCTGCTTAGTAAAGTGCTGTGATCAATAAGTTTTAACATGATTTGCTGCCAGAGTTTGAGAAGGTGCTTCCAAAACTTTGGCTAATATGTTGTAAAGTTTCAGTGAACCGTGTTCACAGGGTGCTGAGTTAAGCTATTAAATTGTTCATTCTAATTCTTTGTTCTTTGAAAGAACAAATATGTTGCCCTAGAGTATAAGTGTTGCAGTTTTGCTATTTTAACAGTTGATCATTAAGTGTATTTCATAGTAGAAAGGAATTGTGGACCTCCCATGCAGAAAAGGAGTCTGAGTACCARTGCTCAAATCTAGTAAGCTGATACTGCATGTTTTATAGACAGCAATGAAGAGACATTTAGACTAGTGGATATCTTCCTGGTAATGAAACTTTGTGCAATGTTGGTCTCCATGGTTGGAAAATTAAATATTTGAATAGATGATTAAAGAATACAARTATGAACTCCTACACCAAAACTGCTACTTACGAATATTACTCATTCCCAACTTTTTAATGAATGTTATTTCCTATTGAATTAAATAACCTTTCTTTTATTTCTTTAGAGGGAAATCCATTTGTCCGAGCAATACCTTAACTTCTGTGCTAGATAAAGAAATGCAGAGCAGGCCTGCACCTCCTCTTCCTCATTACAAACAAACAGATAAGTAAGGAATTTGGATTTAAAACTGTATTCTTCAGTGTTGTGCTGAGTTACCCAAGGAACMTGTTCCTATACTTCAACTTTGTATACCCTGTTTCTTCTTTTTTCCCAACCCACACACAGCTTTGGAGCTTGCAACATGCACTAAAATGTTCTTTCCTCAGAAGTAAGCGTGTAATTAAGTGATAAGAAAACATAGGATTGGCTGTGTGAAATAGGGGTAGTGGTACAAGAAATATTACRGGGTTTTAAAATTATTTTCTAATGAATATGAGATTGTTAAAGGTAAAAAAAATAGAATCCCAACCTCTGAAACAGCTCTCTCTTCCCAACAAAGACTAATGTCTTACTGGCATACAATTMTTTATTTGAATGGGTAGTAAATGGATTTTTCCTGTGTATATATCACTACAYAGTTGATTAAAGGTGAGCTACCATTTTTATCAGATAGTGAGAACTACTGAAGATGGGATATATAAGGCATCTTAGCGAATAGTTTTAAAAGAACAGTCTTTATTCTGTGTGACCTGCCAGCTTCAGATACCTGAAGTTATCTCATAGTTATGATTTTTTTTTTTAATGGATGGCTTGTTATTTGTTCAGGTCTACCTTTCAGAGGTGTTTTCCTCCCAAATTTTTTCCAGATTAGCATCTGAAATCATGTTCAAGTACCTTTTRCAGAAAGGGACAGCTTAATGTTGCAGTAACTACTATTGGTAGGTGCTGCTGCAATACGAAATAGGCTGTTCTGAGAAAATTTAAATTGTTTCAGAGCTAAGCATCTAGAGTAACACACATCTCTAAAAGGATTGCTTAAGGTGTAACTCAATGTGAATTTTAAACAGGTTGTTTCTCTTCATTTCCACTTCTGTGGGATTACTGTCTTCAGTGACCCTGATTAATGCAAATGAGTTATGTAGCAAAATTAAATAAMGGGCTTTCGCCACTTATTTTTCATGACTAGAAGTAAAGTTTCTTTAGAAATCCTTAAATCTAAAAAATCTTYTGGAAGATGTCATGCTGTCTTATTGAGAAAAATCTCTACAGTGCTGGGCATTGCTATTACCATGTATTTTTTGTTAGTCTTGCTTCTGAAAGCAAGCAGATTTGATCATCAGCTCACTTTAACAGTATTAAAAATTTTGAACATTAGGTCTTCAGTACAGTWTCATTTTTGTAATAAATATTACTGKTAAATTATATTTTCAGGCAAAATCCCAAAATAWATTTTACCACTTCAGATGCATGTTGATGTACATTAATTTAATCAAGCATGTGTTTTTGTCAAAATTTGGTTCACAAAGGTTTTCTGGAGCATTAAGGTACTTTGACTAAAACTTAATTTAGAAGTGCATGCTATTTACTGATGCAGTGTGCAGATACACAGTAAGACATTACAGGAGTTTGTGATTCAGTTTGCTTTGTATCTTATTTTTCATGTATGTGAGTAATATCTGATATTCTTATAATTTCAGGAGTAGTGGAAACACTGGTTTATCCAAACCATTAAAAGAAGAGCCAGTAATTGACTACTTTGATGTCCAGGACTGAAGTGATTGATGTAGAATCATTCAGATGAATCAGAATCACCTAGATTATGATACAGAACCTTAGAGGTGAAAATACTRAGTTATTGTGTGAGGTGCTTTTTGATTATCTGTCAAATAATCAGTTGTTCAACATGGTCATAATTTTACATTTAAAATTAGGTTGATATGCTAGTTTAAAAAAGTTAAGCATTTCAACAGTTTATGTAACTGCATAATACCTAATAGTAGTACAGCTTTTTAAATCTGGATTTGGTGCAATTTTGTATCTAATGTGATGTCAGAATAATGTAGATTTTCATTGATGACTTTAAAGTAAGAGGATTGGTGGCAAGCAAATATATTTTTGGAATATATAGAACAACAATAAATCTCGAAGATTTATTTTGACATATCTCACAATTTACAATGGACTAGAAATAATCTGTGGTAAAAACACTGGTTGGGATATTGTTGAAGTATTTTCATGTTTTATTAGTTCACTTTTGTGTTAATTTGGTACATTTGAGAATTTGAGTTACTCTTCTACATGGAAAAAAATACAAAATTTAATTATGAATGTATACATAAATGCCTATTAAGAGCACAGACTTGCTTTGGAATCTGAAGAATCAGTGTTTGGGGAGGATGGGGAATTAAGGAGGATGGGGAATATACTTTACCTCAAATTTAATGTGTTAAAAAAGAAAAACAAGCAAAAAGAAAGGAAAAAAACCAAACCAAACAACAACAAARTCAACCCCACAAGATGAAATTACTACTGCTACTTTCCTGCTACAAGACCTTGAACAAAATCAGACTTTATATATTATTTTGATGTTCTGTGCATGGTTTTATTGCAGTTTATACTTTTTTCTGTACTGTGCAAGCTTAAGATGAATATGTGAAGTTTGGTTTAAGTATGTTATGGATTTGGAATAATACTTGTAAAATTTATAAGACTATCTGCCTAAACTATTTGGCAACAGAAGATCTTTGTTTTACAGGAAATTAAATAACATGGGAAAGTAAATAACGTGGGAAATTAATTAGCAAAATGGGATGACAGTTTAAACACTGAAAGTGTTTCATGATGGTGAATTGTTTCCAGATCTTGATTTAAGATAGATGAGTAGCTCTCTGGGAGAGGAGATTGTAGGTCTGAGCAGAAATGATGGTACAGCTCTGAATTTGAGTAGTATCTGTTCTCCTGAGGAGAAGGTTTTTTGTATTAATAGCTTTAGGAGCTCTGACATTAATGCTTTGTTTCTTGTGGCTGCTGTGKGCAGCACTAGAGGTGAGTCCCCTGTTACCATAAGAGGCTGCTGCTGAAAATGGGCTTAGCATAAAGAAGAAACAGATCTAGTGGAAGAGTTGGTAATCTGTTGTAATCTACTGTAAGCCAGCTCACTACATTGTAGTGTGAGATTTGTTGMCAAAAAGTGGAAGGCAATTACTCATGCTTAGATTCTCTTAAGAGTTATCATGTGGCTCTGAGTCTTATCTATGAAGCATTCCRTGGCTACATTTCAATTGAAAATCCCATGAAACATGGAAGAACAAGTAGAAAACTCACAGACCATATCTGTTACCCAAATGTTTTAAAAATTAAAATGCATGCTATTATTGTTTATTTTGGTAGGAGTTAATTATTTCACATTTTTAAAAATGCAGTCTTAAATGCTTCTAAACATTTGAAGTGTTTCAAGTAAAACAGATACCTTCAAGAGTGTTTAGGCTTTTGATTTGTATGTAGTGATTTAAATTKGTTTCACTTTTTTTTGTCTAATATTTTGTGAACAGAAATGAAAAATAAATCAGTATGTCTTATATTGCCCTTAATTTCTTAAGCAAATTATGGTTTGATTCTACAAGGTGTACTGCTAAGTTCGGCTGAAGAAATAAATTACTCAGCACCTTTCCAGTAATGTATTTCTTCAATCCTTTCATTGTGAGGACTGTATCAATAGCAGTGCTTGCTGACAAGTGCTGACTCAATGTGGTCAAACAAGGGTTTTTGAAACTCCAGAGCTATGTTAATATAGCACTGATTTCAAGCTAGTAAGACCTCTAGGAAGAATGTGTATAGTTACACTGCCAAGGTARGTTCTAGACAGGACCTGGCACACATGTCCAGTGAGCTGAGTCAGATACATGTATACTGGAGCACACACAATTGGTTTACTGTAGGTACACCTAACATTACAGGAAACCAAAGTGATTTWGTTGATAATAAATAGAATAAAGCTGAAGCCTACTAACTTTTCACAGTTCCACATGAATATAGCCAAAACCATCACATTTGCACCTCTAATTCGAATTTCCAAACCTAAAATGTTTTTGTGGCATTATTTTTACTCTGCTTAGTGGAATTTTTATCAGCTTATGGCATTAACATAAGAATGAGGGCTTTGGTGAGACTCACTTCAACAGTCAAGTCGCCACTGCTTGTAATAAGAAAATGGAGGTAATCTCAGTTTTTCAAGCTAAWATTAATAATTACCAAATCTGTTCATACTGAGAAGTCATACTTTTTATCACTTCCTCTTAACTATGAGAACTTTAAAACATTTTTATAGATATGTTACACCTCTCTAAATCATGGCTATGGGAGCATACCTGTAGTTATAGAGTAAGTCATAAGTACCAAATGTTTTWAAAAAAGGCATTTTAATAACCTGGTTAAAAATATGATACCATACATTCACCCATGAAAATAGTTTTTTCCCGGGAACTCATCTACATAGCCTTAAGAAAGAATTTAGCAAAGGCTAACAGTGGTGCTGTCCTCTCGGTTTTGGTGTGCTTTTGCTGCAATGTATCAGTGACTTTTCATATGGAATAGTAATAAAGCTGGAGTTTTGATAAATGTGTTATCTTCATATTGCACGTTTGCCTCGTGGAAATACCTTTCAAATAGCTATTTTTAAAATCTGAGCTGGCCTTTACACCTTTTATCTAATAGAAAAATAAGTGGATAAAAGAAATCTTTGTGTCAGTGAAGTCAGTGGCAAAAATCATGTTGATATCACTGTAATTTATTACTTCAGCTTTGATATGATAGCAGTTTTACACAGCCCTAAGGATAGTATTGTTTCCTGTAAATTTATTTGAAGAMAGTACTTTGCAATAAGCGTCTTCTGAAATAAGTTATGTGATACTAGTTGGAATTCATGGCAACTTCATGAAGTGCTTTTAAAATTGTGTTKAAAATAGGCAGAAAGTTTGTCATTTGGGCTATGCTGTTGCCTGTCTGTATAGTTTAACATATTTAAARTGCTCTGAATATTCAGTGTTTGGGTTTTACCTAAAACTGTGTAAGATGCATAAATAGACTTCAGTATCACTGTTTCTGTGGCAATTTTTACAGTATCTGCCTCATAACAAAATGCGCGAAGTAAAATTTTTCTACAACACTTGTTATTTGTTAAAAGATTTTTATTTAACTTGATTTTTTCAAATTAGTGATATAAAATTACTTTATAAACCCAAAATAAATCTAAATTGAATGTTCAATGCTGGGGAATTGTTTGCACGCTTCATCTTGGTATTCCAGAGTTGGAAGAGTGAGATATCACAGAAAAACAGTAAAGATTTAAATGGACATTTGGAAAGTCCTTTTCCTCAATTTTGAAATAAAAGGCATGATTTCCTCGATTTGAAGTGATTTTTTAAATGAATGCTGTGTGGAGAATGAAGCAAATAAAGAGAGCTCGCCAGAAAATGGAGAGTATGCTGTTTTCTTGGAATTCAGAACTACAGGAGACATGATTCTGGATAGGAATGTACATTTTGGTTATATGAAAAACCCTTTATTATGTCAGCCTAAATGCTACTTGGCAATAAAATGTATTATTTTAACTTATGGTCCTTTCATTATTGTTTGTTCACCATTCAGTTGTAATGGTGACTGTAAGGTAGGTGGGGGGAGAGGAAGTGAGGATTAATGTAATTTTAAAATCCCTGGGGGTATTAGATATAACAAATTCAGTATGGTAAACTGGGGATTGACAGATGATGTAAAAACTTTGCCATCACAGTTTGGTAAATGACAGGAAGACTCAAGAAGCAAGCAGTCTAAAAATCAGAAGTTTGAAATAATTTGAACTGCCTCCTCCTGAAACTTCCAAACCAGGTCATGCATTTCAGCAAAAGCCTGACCTGATATTTCAGATTAAGTGCAAGACGGCTCATAGAAATTCAGGAAGTGATGTGCGATTGAAGAGTGTTGAAATACAGCTGAAAATCTTTTATCCTGCTACCTGAACTTGCTACCTGTAAGTTTGGACTTTCATTTCAGGATTTTTTGGAGCATAAGGACAGCATGTTGCAGTTATATAAGCATTGGAAAACATGTTAACTGGAAATGCTTGCCTGAAAAAAAAAAACCACTTGCACTTCAGGTYTGTCATGGGCTAGAGGGAGACCAAATACATCTTCCTTATGAGTGTGTGTCAATGGCAGCAGAAGAGACAATCAGTTTTGCTTTCTGTTCACTTCTGCATGCTTGGAAATAGGCTTAGATAGATACTATTGTTCAAGTGTTCAAGCCTTTGTAGATACTGAATTCCGAGCAGAAGTCTTCATATGTAACAAATGCTGCTCTCATCCTTTACTAAAATGCTGAATTCCTCCGGTGGTTGATGTGCCAATTTTTACATCTATGTACTTGTTACTTAACCATAAACCAGAATATTAGAGCCATTAGAAAGGGTGTATGTAGAGAGGTTGTATTTTGTATGCTACTGAGCTTTAGACCAGGTTTGTTGGTCATTGTCATCTCAGGATTTTTGAAGGAAGTGTCTTCAGCAGATAAACAGACCATGTTAATGCTGTCCTGCGAGAAGCAAGGTCCCAGAAGGATCCTGGGATTTTTTTTTGTATTATCCATTGAGCTACTGTTTCGAGCAYTGTATTTTTGTTACATTTTTATGTCAGGGTTTCTAACTTAAAACATCTGTGGAAAATACATGTCTCTTTCACAACAGAAAATWATTTTTACCACTGCAAGTATGTTTTTAAGAGTACAGATCAAGGCATATGGCCTTTCTTGTTTTTTAGGTAATCCTCCTTAAATCAGCTTAGGTGCCATTATGAGCTTCTGTTGTCTTTTGGAGACCTTTTCAGTGAAAGGAAATAAGGATAAAATAGGTCTGTTRTGTAGAGCTCTGCTATGCTTGCCTCTCGCAACTTTATTTTTTGTGAAATGTTTAGGAACTGTCCTGTAGTAAATTGTTCCGTTTTCTGATGGATTTAACATGTGCTTACTCCAGCATCCAATCATCTTGCTACATTCACATTCCCTTAAAGCGTAGAAAATGTATTCTAGTCAGAGACCTAGAGGGCTTGATTTGTAAGGAAATGTAATAAACTAAAAAACATCAGCATGAAGGAAAATTTACCTTAATGGAATACTTTTTATACGCTAGCCAAAAGGCTGTCTTTCAAAGTGTGTMTGTTAGGGTAAGTTAACGTGTTAGTAGGGAGTGTTATTTGTAAAACTAAGTTCTAGGAAATAAAAGCTGTGGGGAAAACTGTTGTATGTTGGATTGTCACCTGTCAAACAAGTACAGTCAGGGAAGTACATTTTGTCCATTCAAGGCAACTAGACAGTTTATCTTCTTTTAAACAAGCAATTCAAGGAGTTGTCAGACTTTACTGCTTACCCACTGAGATACCTCCTATTAAGAAATGCTGTTTCAGAAAGTGTTAATTAAAATCTTCTGTCAGTGCAATAACTCCTGTGACAAGTACTGACTCAGACTGGTGTTTAAATTCAGTATTGTTGGCATCAAACAGATGCCAAAGTTTCTAGTTAGGTGTGATTGCTTATGAAAGACAGTTCAGCAGCTTCAATCAAAGTCTTACATAGTTTTAAWTCTATTGAACTAGGCAGTGATTAAACAGGTATTGGGTTGAAATATTTAATGCATTGATTTTTATATAAGGTGTGTTTTTGATAACTTTTTTAGGTATTAAGGAGCGCTATGTCTTGGCTGTCAGCTCATATCCAATTACATACTAATGTAATTACATTAATTACATACTAATTACATACTAATTACATACTAAGTAATGTACTTACTCAGAACTTATAAAAGCCCCATATGAAGTTAATTTTTTTAGTGCATGGTTTTCCTGGTTTTTCCAGTCTTGCCTATGAGAAATTATTTTAATCTTTAGCTTGAATGCGTACAAAGCCAGGGACCTGGAATGCTGATGCAATTGTACAGGCTGGAGCTCATTGTCTAGATAGCAGCTTTATGTAAAAAGACTTGGATGCCAGGTGATCCTGGTRGACAGTGAGTTAGCTGGGAGTTAGAAATGTACCTTGTGGCAAGACTAGCCATGTGCTCTACTGGATTTGTAAGCAGGTCGAGGGGATTCATTTCTCTCCTCTGTTCAGCACTTGAAAGATCACTTGTATCATACTGGGTCCAGCTGCAGGCTCCCCAGCACAAGAAAGACCTTGATTGAAACAAGTCATACAGAAGACCATCAGGTTGGTCAGGAGACAGGAGTACATGATATGTCATAATGGAGAGGTTGAAGGCACTGGATTTGTTCAGCCTGGAAGAGAGAATACTGAAATCTTACTGCTGTCCACAAGTACCTGTTGGGATATATAGAGAAGACAGAGCCAGAATGTACTGTAAAAGGATGAAAGGAAATAGAAGTTGAAACATGAGAAATTAAGACTTGATACATACTTCTACAAGGAAGGTRGTAAAATATGGGATGAGTTTGCTCAGGTATGTTACAGGATTGTCTTCTATGAAGACATTAAGAACTCAACTATATGACATCCTGAACAACCTTTTTTAACAGGAAATACTTRGAACAGGAAATAGGACTACATCACTTGCCTGAAGTCTCTTCCAWCCAATATAATCCTACATCATAGCCAACTTAAGCTATGCTTTTGGCTCAGTTTTGTCCTTTAGCTTTAGTGCTGCTTTTTCTACATACAATGTTAGCTGTCAAAAGTGTGTGTAGAGAAGAATTATCAACTTCTCTGCATTTCTTTGCTGGGTTGTCTTGATCTCCCTGCGTTCCCTTTTAAACAGGCTGTTGATTCTCATTATCATCTTRGTCTTTTTATTCACCTTTTTGAATGTAGCATACAGTATCCAGAAATCATTAGCAATTCTATGAATATGCTAATATCTGTGCTACATTTTGTCTTTTGGAAAAAGATTGTGATTTGTTAATTGATAAAAGAGGTMATTCTGCAGTCACATTGAAGAATTCAATGCTAATAGCTTCTTGATGGTTGTTTTGTTTCAGATTTGATAGCTCCTAATATTTTGTTGTTGTTTATTCTGACACTGAATACTCTTCTAATGTTTACCATCCCATAGCTTTTACACATTTATGGGTAAAATATCTTCTGGTAGAACAGAAAGGAGTGAATGAAGGGAAACCAAATTATCCTGTTTTTCTAGGACTTATAAGCTGTATATGCAATGTAACTCAGTTATGATAAAGCTGTAATTCTTCATTTACCACAGTTTTTTGCAGATTCAGACTATTATAGATAAATTCAAATATTCATTTGGAGGATGACAATAAGAGCAGCAAATTGTAACATTTATTCTAAGTGAATGAAAAAATTAGTGCTTCATAATATTTCTTTTGCATCAAAGAATGTATAAAATTGAAATAATTTAGAAACACATTGGCTTGAAGTCAGAGCTCTTGTTACTCTGATATTAATAAAGCATTCTTTAAGTATTACCTGATATTTAATTCCTTAATGAGGACATASTTTTAATGGCTGAACAGTTTCTCTCATCAAAAACATTGAAGAAAGGTCTCCRTTTGTTCTGTGGAATAACACAAAGCTCTAAAAAGGCTTGTTTTCAGAAG